AGCGTCGGTTTGCAGACTGAAAGGTCCCAGGTTCGATTCCGGTCAAGGGCATGTACATTGGTTGCAGGCACATCCCCGGTGGGGGGTGTGCAAGAGGCAGCTGGTCAATGTTTCTCTCTCATTGACATTTCTAGCTCTCTATCTCTCTCCCTTCCTCTCGGTAAAAAATCAATAAAATTTATTAAGAAAAAAAAAATGAAAATATGCCAAATCCTATCAGAGAATATTTGGGTTTTCACTTAAAGTAACATCTCTAATCTTTAATGTATATATATTTTTATTTATGTGGTTTACATAAGTTATGTAGAGTTATATAAAGCCTTCAAATTAACCCTGAACTAGAGGTCTCTTGTGCCTTTTTAAGAACAGGAAAATACCATGTAGGAGAAGGAGAGGTTGAATGGGTAGGGAAGTGTCAGATTTCAGACCAGGCCTGCAGACCAGCTGAGGCCAGTTAGAAGCGCTGCTTGCTGTCCTCCAGCCCTTCCAGCTGTGTGGGTGAGGACGCAGACTGGGAGGTGAGCTGGATGCAATAAGAGGGGTGTGATGGAGCAAGACGGGCCAAGGCCTTGTGGGAAGTGATCCCAACAAGTGACCATTTCAGATAAGCTGGACACAACAGGAAGTGAGAACATGTAAGGGGATGGACCAATGCCGTAGTGGTCTTGTCAACAGGAAGACACAGCATTGAGTGTTGATATCAGACAGGCCAGGTCTGGGGTATGAGCATGGTAATGAATGGCTGAGGAGACGAGATCACTGGTGAAGAACGGAGAGGCCAGCACGTTGCAAACATTTACAAAGGTATTGACATTACCAAGGAGCATGATGGGAGAGTGTCAGAGAAAGTGACAGGGAGCCAGGAAGTGAAACCTTCAAGGAATAAAGTCAGGCTTCGGTGGGTGACTGACCACAAGGGTGGGGGGAGAAATAGTCCTGGGAAAGAGAATGTATGGGAAAGCAGCAGTGATGGCAAGGAAGACACCCAGGTGCCTAGATATCTATTTTTTAAAAATGCTGAAAACACTCACACCTTGAGAGTGTGGCAGGGAAAGTGAGGTTTCCCTCCAGACTCCACAGCCCTACATAGTAGCCGACAGCCACGTGTGACTACCGAGCACTTGAACTGTGGCTGGCGTGGCTGAGGAAGTGAATTTTTTTAAGGCTTTCTTTTTTAAATATATTTTATTGATTTTTTTACAGAGAGGAAGGGAGAGGGATAGAGAGCTATTGTAGAAACATCAATGATAGAGAACCATCAATCAGCTGCCTCTTGCACAACCCCTACTGGGGATATGCCCGCAATCAAGGTACATGCCCTTGACCGGAATAGAACCTGGGACCTTTCAGTCTGCAAACCGATGCTCTATCCACTGAGCCAAATCGGTTTCGGCAAGGAGGAAGTGAATTTTTAATTGAATTTAATTCCAATTAAGTTAAAAACTGAAGCAGTAGGAACTATTTTTCTGTTACACACAAGCGTGCTGTTTTGTTAGGACTACATTTCACTTTAACCACTGAAAATCCAAATTTAGCTATGTTCCAAGTGTAAAATACACCCCAGATTTCAAAGATGGTATAAAAAGATGTAAAAAATCTCCATAATATTTTTCTACTTTTTTTGCGTATTGAAATATGTTGGGTCGCACTAACATGTTTTTGTATGCTGGATCTATTGTGTCAGGTGAAATATTTTATTGAAATTAATTTTACTGCTTCTTTCTACTTGTTTTAAGGTGACTACTAGAAAACAAAGAATTACAGTGTGGCTCACATTTCTTCTGGCAGTGCTGGGTTAGGGGCAGATGATGAAGGGAACACCCAGAGAAGCGGTAGGGGACATAGAGCACCCAGCTGCCAACTGACAAGGGTTCCAGGGCCTCGGAGGGTAGGCAGGGTTAGAGAGGCAGGGGCACAGCCAGTGGGAACAAGTGCCTCAAGGCTGAGGGGTCTCCAGGGAACCCTGAGATTCTTGTGGTACCTGGAAGACGTAGAGACAAAAGTCATAGAGTCCTACCTTTCTCAAGACAAAACGGATGACAAGGCTGTGACTTTTTGGAGGTAAGGAGATGATCCAGTTTTAATCAGGGTCCCCAATTCATACTTTGCCAAGGGAGGAGGCAGGGAAAGCAAAAATAAATATTTTTAATTAATATGCTTTAGGGATGGAGACATCAATGATTAGAATCATTGATTGACTGCCTCCTACATGCCCCCTGCTGAGGATCAAGCCCACAACCTGGGCATGTGCCCTGACCAGGAACCTTGACCTCCTGTTACATGGGTCAAAGCTCAACCACTGAGCACACTGGCCAGCAGCAAAAATATTCTGAGGGGAGCATCCACAAGATTTGGATGAATTGAATGTGGAGCGTGGGTGTAACAAGGGTACTCAAGGGTGTGTCTGAGGATCTGGAAACATGGAGTTGTCTTTTATTGAAAAGGGAAGGCTGCAACTAGAATGCTGGGTGGTATGCGAGGGAAGACACCATGAGTTCGGATATGTTAGGTTTGAGGATCCCGCTTAACTTCCAAGTAGAGATCTTAATGAGGAAATTTGCCGGAAGCCAATGTCAGTAGGACTGAATCATCTGGGAATGGCTAAAGCATTTCCCCAAACCTGAAAAGGATACATAAATTGATTACTTGCTGCTAGACAACTGAGAGCATCTTAATGTACATGTTATTGCCTCATGCTGGCCAAATACCTGAACAGCCTACGGTAGTTTCTCCAAAACCTGATAATCTGACAATGGATTGTGTATACAAACCCTACCCTTTGAAGTGTATATCTCCACCTTGTCTTAGGACAAATTGTGTTAATAAAAAGCAAGGGATGCTGAGGCAAGGAAAAGTTAGTTCCTTTAGCTAAGTCTTCTCTAACTCCCCATGATTCTTTTCAAAATTATGTTTTGTTTCTGGACTCTTATTTAATTTACTCACAGCACTTTCTCCAGGTTCCTGGACCTTCTAGATACCGGATCAAGACCACTGGCATTAGAGATTGGCTATAGGGATCTGCAGTTCACAGAGAGGAGGGTGGAGGTATAAATCTGAGGGTATGTGGCATCTAGATTGTATTTAAAGCTATGGGGCATGAATTCTAAGATCAAAGAATTCTGGCTCAATTTAGTCATTTCCCTACAGCTTAGTGAATAACTATGGTTTAGGTAACTCCCAATTCTTTTCTTAGGGTGCACTTTTCCTTTTGCATAGATATCATCTCACTGACATTTAGCTCAATCTAATATGACCCTGACCTCATACTGGGAGAAAAAGAGGACAGAGATTCAGGAGCCAGATTGGTGTTTCTCCAAACCATGGCTATTCACTGCGAACTTGCCTCTGCTCACCCTGCTCACAAGTGGCTCCTGCCCCACTGAAATCATTTCTCTATATACTCGGAATTTTGTTAGAAAAATTAAAATGTCAGGTAATAGTCTTTTAAGCTGAACCAGCCACATCACCTCAACTGGAAAAAGCGATTCCCTCCCCATTAGGCAAACTGGTGAAGAAACATAGAGTTTTTTTTTTTTTTTTTTTTTTTTTTTTTTTTTTTTAACATGGAAATTAGCCAACGGCACACACTCGGGGGGGGGGGGGGGGGGAGAGAAGGAAATGACATCAGGTGGGTCTCCCTGCCTTTCTGCAGTTCCTTGTTTAGTGAAAACAAAACACAAACAAAGTCTTGATTATCAGTGTAACCCTGGGTTGGCTGTGCACTCTCCCACTCAGCCTGGGAGACTCCACTCTCCCACTCAGCCTGCATCTGGGCACACCCCCAGGAGCCCTCATCTCCCACTCAGCCTGCATCTGGGCACACCCCCAGGAACCCTCATCTCCCACGCAGAGTGCACCCCTCATGGATGTAGTGGAGTCATTTTAAAATGGCGTCCAGGTTAGAGAGAAGACCAAGGACCACAGACTTGAGCTGGGAGCTCCTAGTTCCAATGAGCTGATGTGCTGATAAGGAAACTGAAGCCCAGGAGGGGAACTGACTTGCTCAAGCTTAAAAACTGGTGATGACAGATAAATGGTGATGGAAAAAAGAAAATGAAATAAAAGAAAATACATACATACATAAATACATACATACATACATACATACATACATACATACATACATAAATAAATAATAAATAAATACGGGTGGTGACAGAATTGAAACTAGAGTCCAGAACACTTCTCACTGTCTCTTTGAGCTTTTTGTTACAGAAAATTGTAAACACACACAAGTGGGCAAAATAGTATAATGAATCTACATATAGTCATCACTCAGTGACAATTTTCACCACTTGCCCATGTTGTTTTACCTCTTTCTCTTTTTTGTGCTGGATTATTTTAAAACCATCCAAGACCCCATGTCATGCCTCTTATAACCACTTCAGCATGCTTCTCTTACTGATAGGAATATTTTTTAAAAAGAAAAACACATGCCTTTCAACATACAATAAAGTTAACAATAATTCATTTATTATCATCTAATACTGTCCCTAATTATCTAAAAGTTGTCATTATAATTGTGTTCTTTGAATCAGGTTAAAAGGGTCCACACGGCCCTAGCCGGTTTGGCTCAGTGAATAGAACGTCGGCCTGGGACTGAAGGGTCCAGGGTTCCTTTGCAGGCTTTGGAAGCCCTTCGCATGCCTAGATCTTACACTTTGTTTTTGTTTTGTTTTTCCTCTTAACATGACTACTTCAGAACCACATAGGCAGAAGCAGAGAGAAAGGACATTCTGGAGGACAGGAGACAGATCTGAAATGTTACAGTGAGTGCCCTGCCTTGGTCTAAGTGCTGGGGTTAAGCTCTGTCCCGGGGAGAAGGGTGGTAGGAACTGAATTGTGTCCGCCCGCCCTAACCCCCAACATGACATATTAGGTGATGGGACCTTTGGGTGATTAGGTTTAGATGAGGTCATAAGGGTGAGCCTTGCAATGGGACTAGGGCCCTTGTGAGAAGAAGTAAACAGTAAGATTGCTCTCCTGTGTGCATGCAACCAGGAAAGGCCACGTGGGACATGGCAAGGAGACCCTGTACTTGCCAGGAAGAACCTTCACCAGGAACTGATCATGTGGCACCCGGATCTCAGACTTCCCAGCATCCAGCTCGGTGAGAAACCCGTTCCTGTCATTTCAGCCAGCAGGTTGGTGGTGCTTCAAACAGCAGCACAAGCAGATAAGACAAAGGGCACAGAAATCAAAAGCACAAAGCATTGTGCTAAGAGCTGCAGGTGGGGCGATGATGCCAGTGGATTCTATAGATAAATCCTGCTCCTGTGCAGGCTGCCCGGCGCCCTGGGGCCTGAAAGCAGCTGGCCTGGACATAGTTGGCCTGGAAGGGCCGGCCACATGGTTCATGGAAGGCTGCCCAGGAACTGGCAGGGATGGGCATAGTGGGGTGCTTTGCGTGTGGGGCTTTGCTCATTCTTGGCACCATCTGGCTTGATTTCATTGGCACAGATGCAATCTGGCTTGACAAAGAGGTTGGTTTGGCTTAAGGTGACTTCTCTGAGTAATATTAGGGTGAGAATAATTGGAGGCTGTTATCCAGGGAGCCCCCTGCTTTTTCCCAGGGCATGCAGGCCCAGGTGTGACCAGCACCAGGTAGGCAGTGGCTGGAGTCTGAGCAGCATTGGCCTTGTAGACCCCACGGGAGTCCTCGATGACAGGGCATCACGAGGGGTCATTGGGAGCATCCCAAGTCTCAACCTTAAGCACTTCCCACCTGCAGGTCATACAGCAATGATCTCTAACAACCAAGCAAGCACCCATCTAGTTGCTAGGCTAGGTGCTGTGTACATTTTTATAACCCACACCATGCTCTGCCAGTTTGGGACTAGTACCCATTTTCCAGACTAGGAGACTGAGGCTCAGACAGAGTCACACAGGTGGAGATAGGATTCCACTGTATCTGATGCTGTCGATGTTAACCTTCATGAGGGGGTAACCACGTACTCACTGCCGAGGCTCTAGTGCCCCCCATAGCACCATTAATGACTTGGTCAAACTCAGGGTATCTTGTGGATGTCACTGGATTATGTAAAGTCATGAGCAGTCCCTGCACCCCAATGGTACCCCACAGAGACACTGAGGACTCAGCAAGAGACGCTGCAGTGCTGAGCTCTGCCCATACTGGACCTACTCCATCCAGGACACATGGCAGGACCACAGCAGAGGGCTTGTTGCTTCCACTTTGTTTGGTTTTGCTTCCACATTTTTAACATCACAAGCTGCCAACTTCCTTATTTCCTAAAGTCTCCCATTTTAAAAAATAATTGCAAGAGGTGCAAACATTTTTGAGACTTCTGATCTCAAACCTTATCAATGTGCCAATAAAAGTGCTGGATCCCGCTCCAAGCAGTTTTGTGACCCAAGAGATGCCTTTGGTGAGGAAGAGGGTGCTGGTTCCTGGAGTTTACCCTGCTCTACTGTGTTTTTTTTTAAACATATTTTATTGATTTTTTTACAGAGAGGAAGAGAGAGGGATAGAGAGTTAGAAACATCGATGAGAGAGAATCATTGACCAGCTGCCTCCTGCACACCCCTTACTGGGGATGGGCCCGCAGCCAAGGTACATGCCCTTGACGGGAATCAAACCTGAGACCCTTCAGTCCGCAGACCGACGCTCTATCCACTGAGCCAAACCAGTCAGCTCTACTGGATTTTTTAAAATTCCAGAGAAATATACCCAGCCGCCAATGGGACTTTCCTGTTGAGCGTCCCCCACCACTAAGAGACAGGGCCGGAGGGGAATCACTCTATTGCTCCCATCAGCACTTGGCAGATCATCCACCCAGTTGCTCAAGCCAGAGACCTAGAGTCCCAGTCAGCATGTCCCATTCCCTGATCCCTCACACTGTGTACCACATCCTCCTGCAGGTCCCTGCCCCCTCACTCCTGCCTGGCTGGTGTGGAGGGCACCATTACTTCTGAGTGTCCAGCAGCCTCTTCTCTGGACAATGGAAAAAACAGTGCCTGCCTTGCTGAGTGGCTGTGAGGAGTGAAACAAACACAAAGCAGCAGCTTCCTCTTTCCTCCATTAAATATCCACCCATTCAATAAATACTGGGTGTGTACATTATTTTCAGATCAGCGAGAGCTGATTGTTTTGTGTACACTCAAAGGGCTTGTGGTCCAATAGAGGGGACACATGAAAACTCACTGACTAAAGGTCCCAGGTGCTGAAGTAGACGCCTATGTGGAGGGAGACACAGAGGAGGAAGCCAGTGGCCCATTCAACCCAAGGGAATTGGGAGAGAGTTTGGGGAGGAGAGATGGGGAACTAATAGGTCAAAGCTATTAAGCAGTGAACAGATGGAGCCTGCACAGGAGAGCCCATTTGCTGCAGCCCACACCTCCTCCACCGAAGGAATCAGAACCTGTTGGCTGCTTCTGCCATCGCTGCCTCCTCCGTTTGACCTCCTGCAGGTCCAAGTAGGAGAGGAAACCTACTGTCCAGAGTCCCTGGGGGTCCAGATCTGCTGTCTGACATTTCTGCTGACTCACTCGCGGTGGCTTGCTTGTATGTTTGGTGACCTTTTATGTGGACTAACACTTGGCTTACTGTCAAGGACTTCCCAGGGGCCTGGTGAGAGTGACTCCTTCCATGTGAGACCTGCATTCGATTCTGCAAGGTGCCCCAGGCTTCCAACCAGGAAGCACTTGAAAATTATTTCTCTGTCGGGGGTGTCTTCTTTTTCTTTTTTGATCGTATGATAGTGTAAATGCAAACCTGGAACCGTGTGAAGTTAGACCTATGATGTGAAATTTTAGGGGAGACTTTTCTACCCTTTAACTCTGAGCAGAAGGCCAGGACAGACAGTGACTTGCTGGTAGTGGTTTGTTTTTGTTTTTTTGATCACCCTTTCAAAAGGCAACCTTTTGGCTGTAGGGTCTGTTCCATTCTCCTATCTTGTTTGGGCCAAAGACAGTCTCTAACTCCCTCCACAAGGCTTTTGAAACCCGGGCTCTAGTTTTCTGGAATAGCAGACTCTTCAGGGCAGCTGTGGCCTCAGTGTTGGCTTTCTCTTTTGTGGATTTTTCTTGCTTTCTTGAGAGTTTGTCTATTACTTTAAATGTGCTTGTTTTGTGGGGGAAGTTGTTGCAGGGTATCTCATCTGCCATATTGCTGAAAGTGGGTTTCCATGAGAATTGAACAAGACCAAGCCTTGATTTTGGACTTCCAGGCTCCAGAACTGTGAGTAAATAAATTTTATTTACACCACCCAGTGGTGTTTTGTTGATAACCCTAACAAACGCAGTGCCTAACAGTCAGCTTCAATGATTAATATTCTGCCCTTGTTTCATATTACCCCCTCCCCAACATTCACTTTTTAATTTTTTGCTGAATTATTTTAAAGCAAATCATTTTACTGGTAATTACATCATTATCTATTTCTAACAGGCAAGAACTTTTTAAAACACAGCCACTGTTTCCATGTGGTTTTTGACTAAAAATCCCATTTCTTGGGATTGATTGTGGGCACCCTTCACACGTGCTCCGCGTGGCCTTTGAGGAGGGAATGGCATCTGTGGTGGGGCTTTTTGGCCAAGTCCCGCCACCACTTCACCTTATAACAGGCCAGGCTTCTGCTGCTCCCAGCACCTTGTTATCCCCTCACCAGTCAGCAGCTACTAAGCCCCCACTTTCACCAAGTCCCCTGGACTGAAAGGAGACAAGCAATTTGCCTACCTCTCTTTCCCTTAGAGTTTATTATTATTTTTAAAATCCTCACCTGATACTTTTTCCATTGATTTTTAGAGAAAGTGGAAGAGAGAGGGAAAGATAGAAATATGAGTGAGATACATCGATTGGTTGCCTCCTGCATGAGCCCTGACTAGGGCTCGGGCTGGGGAGAAGCCTGCAACCAAGGTACATGCCCTTGACCAGAATCAAATCTGGCACCATTTGGTCCACAGGTTAACGCTCTATCCACTGAGCCAAACTTGCTAGGGAAAGTTATTTATTCTATAACTGTTAGTTTGTACCTCTTAATCCCCTTCACTTATTTCATCTGCTGAAAGTAAGTTAATGGATTGGAAGACTCAATCCAAGTACTCCATGTATGCTATGTAGGCTATAACCAAGGCATTCCTAGGGGCTACCCACAGGGCCACAATGGTGACCTTGAATCCAGGCTTTATTGGTTGAGGACACACAAGGCCTTGGTCTCTTTAATATGCAACTCCCAAGAAAGTTTCTGACAGTTTAAGAACTTAGAACCACCCACAGAGGGGGAAAAAAAGAAAAAAGAAAAAAAAAAAAGACCATTGGTTGTCATCCATTGGCTAACCCAAGGTAGATGATGTCTCCTCTCCAATTACCAGCCATGTGGAGAGGTGACAAAGATCCCCAGTGCCAGGGAGAGGTGAGAAGACAAGGAAGATTGTCATAGATGAGGGGTTTCATGTCATGAGGGAGGAAGAGGTAAGAGATGTCGGGGAGACAGTTGCATGCTCCAGAACTGTGAGTAAATAAATTTGTTTATTGTTAAAGTGTCAGGAAGCAGGTTGTTCTGAGGTGGAAGTGGAGTCAAATCCCTTTTTGGTCAGCTGGTTTGTCTTTGGGGCTGGGTTCTGAAATAAATTTCCTTTGTCAGTATAGGATCTGCTCATTTACTGGATCAAACAGTGCCACCATGGGCACTGCACTCAAAAGACAAGGCAAGTGTGTGGGTATCCAGCCTTGAGACAAGCCTCTATGACATGCCATCAAAGCAAGATATCATTGTCCTTTACATCCTGGGCTCAGACACATAGGTAACAAGGCAATGACTGTCAGGTCAGTAAGAGACAGTTACTGGTACCCTGTGAATTCAAGGGGCAAGGAAGGGCACCAACCTGTAGGCTGGGGTAGTCACAAAAGGCTTTAGGTCATTGAGCCGGTCTTGTAGAAAGAAGAAGTAAAATAATAGAAAACATGATGAAAACAAAGACACCAAGACTGGGCGCCTATCAATAAATAATTTTTGCTTGATACTAAATACACGTGTAAGAAAAATGCAAGCTGCTAAAAACGTAAGCATAGCATATAAAAATCATACTTGAAAACTTAATGCTTGTAGATACACACACTTGTAAGGGTCCATATCCTATGAGTCAAGTTTTCCTGAGTGTAAGCAACAGAACTGCCTCTAAGGAATTTACCAGAAGAATGTAGGGGATCTCACAGAACTGAAGGGAAGACCAAAAAGAGCAAGGTCAGAAAGAGCAAGGCTCAGGAAGATCTGATGGGCTTCACTGCAGAACCCAGTGGAATCTCTGGTTGCTCTGATTAATATACAATGATCCAGGAGCAAGTCCGGAGATTCCAATTGGTTTGGCTTTGTTCATGTGCCCCCAACTCTTGGCTGGGGGAAATTGGTATATTTTATTTTTCATTCCCCGAAAATTGCACCCAACAGGGGAGAGAGAAGTCCCAAAAAGGCAATGCCATTCCCAAAAGTAGGTGGGCTGCTGGGCATCTGAAAAACCACAAATCTCCACTACACATCACAGTAATTCTGTTTTCCTTGAGGAGAAGGATCCTACAACACAGTCCTCTGGGATGGTGGGATTTTTCACACCGTATAATGATTTGGTAAGTTTATGCTAAAAAACAAATCTGTTCCAAACAGACAGGAAAAATGAACAGACTACAAAAAAGAGAAAACTACATATATACATAAATGCAAACACACACACATACACACACACACACACACACAATCTCCTTGAACCAGAAGTCCAAATGCCACCAGGTAACTCTGGTTTGAGGTTCAATATCCTGTGTCCCTATTGGCATTTATTATCAGATGTAATCATATACCTGGATTTATATTGAGGTCCTGAAGCTCATAGGGAAGCATCCACAAGACCATCAGAGAGGTTGGAAGAGTGAAGAAAAGAAAAACCATAATCCTACAGAATACAAGAGAAAACTCAATGTTAAGATAGCCAATAAAATCAACAAAGTCAGAACATTCCAGAATAGCCTGAAAGGGTCAAATAAATTATGTTGAGGATATTTAAGAGATAAACGAAAGTTCTATAGTTAAGAAAGAACTATAAAATACTTAATAAAAATGAATTAAATAAAACCAGCTGCACACAATCAATTAGAAATAATGGAAACAAAAATATAGTTTAATATTTAAAATGCAATGAACAAAGTAATATATAGTAAAGAGTTAGTAAGTGAAACAAAATGCTGAAAAAAATCACCCAAAATGCAACACACACTCCCCTCCACTTACATGACTGATATTTCAAATATTTTTAGCCAAGGCACCCAATCTTCAAATCACATCTTTATTAGGATAAGCAAAACAGGTCAAACCATAGCTATTCCAGCTGAAGTGGATGTGGTAAGAATGATCTGTGTTATTAAATGAGCATTAGGATATAACTTGGTAATTCCATTGTTCTCTTGGACATTGTTACAATGATGCATTTTTAAAAAACATTGTTAGCCCAACTAAATAATGATCATGTTAAAGACAGAAGCTGCTCTATTCTCCAATCCAAGCTTTCAACAAGTATTTGATCTTGGTTATGGTTTAATGAATTACAATGTAAGAAAATTCAGTTCAATCATACTAGCTGGCAACTAAAAAATAAGGTGTTTAAATTGTGAGGGCACTCCAAGGTCAACTCTATTGTTCCATTGTCACAGAACCGGAACTGTATTTAACAATGAGTTAGATTCAACTCAAGAAGCAAGAAAAGGTGCACAGAATCCAGACTACATAGAACTCTAAACACTAAAGAGCAGCAATTAATGAAATAGTAAAAAAATTTGCTTAATACTACTAGAACTTAAAATATATATATATGTATGTAATAAAAGTATAATATGCTAATTAGACTGGATAGCTGAACAACCTTCCAGATGTCCTTCTGGACAACCTTTTGTACAAAGTTGGGGCTGCGAGGGATGAGCCCCTTGCATGAATTTCATGCATCGGGCCTCTAGTGTATATATATATATTTGGCAATCTAATCAAGAATGCAGCCCCTCATGCAAAGAAAATATTAAAAAGTGGTCACACCTAGGAAAGATTTTATGCACACACTCTCTCTCTCTACAACACATTGCTTTATGTATGTGTTTGTGTTATTTAAGTCTAGAAAAACTGGATGGTTTTCCCAAGGAATTATAAATTCAATGAAAAAATAGGGAACATGAATAGACTAAAACTAAAGAAATTTTAAGTGCAGTAAAAAATACTTAAAAGGCTGCCGAAGCCGGTTTGGCTCAGTGGTAGAGCGTTGGTCTGTGGACTGAAAGGTCCCAGGTTCGATTCCAGTCAGGGGCATGAACATTTGTTACGGGCACATCCCCGGTGGGGGGTGTGCAAGAGGCAGCTGGTCGATGTTTCTCTCTCATTGACGTTTCTAGCTCTCTATCACTCTCCCTTCCTCTCTATAAAAAAATCAATGAAATATATTAAAAAATACTTAAAAGGCTATTAAGAGTCTCTAAAACTACATATAATAGCATAAAAAACGAGTTCATCTCATTTATTAGTATAGATAATCCTAAACAAATTAGCACATTAATATTAGTCATTCATAAATAGGTTTTATATAAATTAAAAGGTAATTCAATATTAGAAAATATGTTAGCTTCAGTCACTCCATTAAAATTAATAGCTAAATGAAAAACTATGATTGTTTTCTAAATCTTCGAAAACTCATTGGGTAAATTCAAAACTTATCCCTTGGGAGTTGGGGAAGAAACTAAGAAAAGGAAATTTCCTTAAGTTAATAAAGGCTATCCAGAAGAAACTTCAGCAGCCATTACACTTATTTCCCATGACACTCAGGAAAGAAAGAAGGATGCTAAAATTAGCTAATGAATATGACTATTAAAAATCAGAAAAATGCATTTTCAGATAAAATGACTAATTGCCTAGAAAAATCCCAGAATTATATAACAAACAATTTTGACTGAATTCAACCAAGTTGCTAGAGTAAAATAAACATAAATTAACTGCTCATTATTGACGAAGAATGTACCTAAGGAAATATAATAGAAATTTTTAAAAAAGCAATTCATAGAAGCATTTTCTTCTTCAATAAAGAAATAAACTTTAAGTATATAATACCTAAATGAAAAAAAAAATCTCACTTTACTGAAGGACATAAAATTCTGAATTAATGGAGATACATATTCTGTTCTGGACAGAATGACTTCATATTTTTAAAAATATTAATCCTTCTTACACATTAATCTAGAAAAATCAATCCAACACTAATCAAAATCCCAAGGGAACTTTTCTGGCCCTTGGTGAGTCTTATATTAAACAAACAAAATGGATGGGAGATAATTTTTTGAATTAAAAGAACAAATGGGCACTTGACCTACCACATAACACTGCATTAATCTCAAGTTTTCAGGAAGAGAAAAATCATGGAAAACTTGTCAGCACCACTTCCTGAGACTATATAACACTGGAGATGGGGTGGAAGCAGCGACAGAAGGGCTTAGCTGAGGTACATTAAATGTGACTCCCATTAAGTCTCTAAGTGGAGATGGACAGACAGCTAGATGTTGTTATTATATTATACTTTCTTCACTATTTTAAAATACTTTCATTTCCTCTTAAAATCAGAATACTTCTATCTCCTGTAAGGATGCGAAGCCTCTGGTACTTCTCCATTGTTGGAATGGCGTCTTCACTTTCCCTGAATATGCCATGAACACTACCTGGGCCTCTGAAGTCACAAAGGCTATAACCCAAATTGGCTTCACAGCAATTCTGACCTCTTCTCCACTCAGAAAGAGCTTAAGGTTCATGAAGTCTGTTTCCACCCCAGGATCTCTCCTCACCTCCAACACACTCTTATGATCTTAATCATATGCTCTCTTCCATTTTAAACATTCAAATCTATTTCTCAGACTCTATAAACCCACTAAGAGATTCTACTTGAATTTCCACTCATGAATACAAAAATAACGCATTATTTCTAACATAAATTGTTTTCTATACCAGAAGTATGTGATCCAAACCTAAAATGCTAGAGTAAATAAGTTTTATCCAGATTAAATGCACAGGACTCCACTGTCCATCTGGAGTACCAAGCCAGCAATATGTGAACGACAACATGCAGGTAAGTTGTGAAGAGAAAGTGCCAAGATACAGAGGGCAATGATGGCCCATCAGAACTCATAAGACAGCCACCTCATGGGACACATGAGACCTATCCAAGGAAGCACTTCCCAGAAAGGGCAATCAGGCAACTGGAAAGGAAAACCATGCCTTATCCCCATAATTGTCCTCACTTATTTCCATATATGCCTCATTCAGCACGAGGTAGAAAACTGGTTTTTAGTAAATAAAGTATGTGAGCTCAACCAACCAGGGCAGAATAAGAACTACATGTATCAACATGCAAATACACATGATCACACATGCACATGTGAGCAAACATCAACAATATGACCACGCATGCCATATAAAATTGAATGTAAACTGTGAAGCAATCTGAATTAAGAAACTAGTGTTGTTGCCACCACCATTTATTTATCTAGTTCATAACTAAGTATAGAACACTACGGTAGTGCTGGAAATGCAAAGAAACCCCTGCTCTTAAGGGGCTTACAATCTTATTAGGAAAATAACAGGCACATAAAATGTTGGACTTTAGAAAGCTTAGGCTAACAAATGCCTTAAGAATTCAGAAGACAGTATAGTGTAAGAAGACAGCGTAGTCCCCAAACCCAGTTCTAGTCCCAAGATGGTCAGATAACTTCTCTGGGTTTATTACCTCAGCTGCAAAATGAAGTAGTGAGAATGAGGCTGTCTGCATTTGTTTGCATCATGATTCTGATTAAAAGCTGAGGAAAAGTCTATGGAGTAGGTGGCACCTGAACTGGACACAGAAAGAAGACAGAAGGCAATTCCAACAAGGACAGGGGGCTGAGGTAGGCGTAAACATGGGTTTGGAGGGTAAGACAAGTGTCATCAGGAAGAAGGGAAGGAAGTAAAGGGTGGCCATGGTAGCCCTCAGGCACTACTCACAGAGAAATTAGCTGTATTCCTCACACTTACATCTGTCAGTTATAGTACATAATTCCAGAGAGTAGGAAATACCAAAGAATGGCGGCATTTTATCAGACATTTCACTCAATTTCCATAAAAGAATTTAACATTATAACTCTATGACATCATTGAACTGTTCCAATTGTCAAAATGTAAGTCAAAGTTTACATTCTTAGTGAACATAACTAAATCTCTTAATTCAAGAGGACATTTGCTATGAATTCTCAATAATTCCAACATTTGTTTTCTATGTTCCATTTACTGTGGAAATAAAAATGAGTAAGATTAGCTTATTCCTGCCCTGGAAGAGTCTGCATCCTGGTAGGTAAGGCAAACATCCACTGTGCCTACCCAGAATGTCCTGTGATGCACATGATCAACGTACGACCACACGGCTAGAGTCCAGAAGACAGATTGATCCCTTCTGAAGGTGCTTTGCAAGGGCTCAGGGGAGAGAGGTCGATGGCTCAAGGAGAAATCAATCCGGCAAGTAGAAGGTGTTGGTGGGCAGCAGAGGGCACACAGCTTCCAACAGGGACCGTGAGTGGCCAGGGCCTAGCACGGCACAGTGCAGCTGGAGCAGAGTGCACAGTGCAAAACAAGTGAAATGGAAGCCTGGATTTAGTCCTAGAATAATGGGAGACACTGCTTGCTACCTTTAACCATCTACAGGAAAGTGAGCAGTGATGCTATAAGCTCTTCTCAGCATAATTATACTGTTCAGCCCTAGCCGGTTTAGCCTAGTAGATAGAGCACCAAGCCTATAGAATGAAGGGTTCTGGGTTTGGTTCCTGTCAAGGGCACATGCGAGGGTTGCGAGTTCGATCCCCAGTAGGAGGAATGTAGGAGGCAGCCGATCAATTATTTTTCTCTCATCATTGATGTTTTTCTCTCTCCCTTTCCCTTCCTCTCTGAAATCAACAAAAATATATATATATATATATTTTTTTAAAGTATGTTTTTATTGATTTTAGAGAGAGGAAGGGAGACAGAACATCAGCTGCCTCCTCATGCCCCTGACCCGGGCCTGTGCCCTGACCGGGAACTGAAGCAGTGACCTCTTGGTTCATGGTAGGACGTTCAACCACTGAGCCACACTGCTGGGCTGTTTCCAATATTACGTCTGTAAATAAAGCTGCTGTGAAACATTTTGAATACGTCTGTGTCGAACACATGCTCTGGCTTCTCTCGGAGTAGGATTGCTGGCATAGGATTCATATGTTTTTACTTTAGTAGAAATCGCCAGTTTTCCAAAGTGGTTAAACCAATCTCCAGCCCCGCTCCGGCTGTGTGAGTCTGCTGCCCTGTGTCTGATGCTGTTTTATTTCCAGCCGTGGTGGGTGTGGCGGCATCTCCTGGGGTCTTCATTTACATTTCACCCCGTGAGGCTGTTGAACACCTTCTCTTACACCTATTGTCCGTTTGTACCTGCTTGAGTCTTAACAAAAATATATATTTTTAAAAATTACACTGTTCAGGAAACCTTCTAACCCAAATTCTCCTCTCTTCCTCCTTCCCCCATTCTTTCCTTTTATGATCAGCAAGTTTTCAAAGTGGAGCTGGAACATGCAAGACATAAGGGAGGAGCCAACGAATAGGACTAGAAATGCACACATTTGGCTAATCAAGTTACCACAGGTAATTGTAATGGTTTTGTACAAGTCTGCAGATAAGGAAAACAAATTTTTTTTTCAGGAGTTTTCTAATACACACCAAAATGTTGGAGAATCTCACTTAATGGGGGGGAGGGGGGATATTTAGAACCCTGGCAGAAGACTGCATTTCTGAAACCATTTCCCATTAAATATCAGTGTTACAAAAACAATACCATACAATCTCAAAGCCTATCTTCACACAATTAAGATCTGACCAAAATTGCATTGTTTGGCTTAAAAAATAAAAAAATACAATGTGTAATTCAAAGTCTTAGGTTTGCAGCTACTACCAAAATACGCCAATACATGAATAAACTGTCCAGTGAAGAACATGCAATAAAAGATAGATGGAAATATTCATCTCTTTAGGGTAGACTCTAAATTCCAATTTCTGATAATATTATAGAACCAATTCTACGAAAGCAACACCTTCTTGCAATTTCATTTCATAATGAAGAAAATAACTGTGCGTTTTATTTAACATTCATTCTTAAATTACAGTTATGCCAAAAACAATCAGCTTCTAATGAAAGAATCCTTAGCATAACTCTCAAAACATGCCTATACATTTAGTCGAATCTTCTACATTTCTAAATAAATTACATGCATGATATACATTAACCAATAAAGAATACCAATATGAGAATTCAGGACATTTATTTTTTGCATGGAGATTTAACTACTGTATAACACACACAGCACACACACACACAAAACAAACCCATAAAGCAACGGTGTGTAGTAGGTAGTGAGAGAGCCCTAAAATAAGCATATTTTAAGTGCCTGCAAACAGGCTTTTTTTTTTAGGCAACAAAATATTTTCAGTCCTTGACACCTTCTCACACTTACCTAGCACCACAGATGCAAGGACTTCTGGTAAACGTGTATAACCTCATGCTTAAAACCTAAAGCATGCACTGAGTAGAATTTATACATAATGATCTACTCTACTAAGTATGCAATACATACTTCTAACATTTTATACATTAAATTACCCTGCAGCATTTAAAATTTTTTTAACATTTATGCCAAACAATTCTTGAAACAAGTTTTCAAGGATCACCTCTAGGCTGATTACACAGGCATTGGTTTGGTTAAATGGAAAAATGGCAGCAGCCTCAAGGTTCACACAGAATGAAAATGATAGATGTGCATGTCAGTCCATGTAAAAAATACATATATACACAGATGGCACAAAGATTTGTGCAGTTGGAATCACCAGTGCAAATGCATGCATTTGAGGTACTTATTTTTCGCATGGTCAGGTATAATTATGCATAGTCATGTTCCTCAAGTGCTAAATATTTCAGACCTGATTGAATGAAAAACTGTAAGAAGAGTAAATATGAAATATTTATACAATTAATTTCAAAGTGCTATGCTTTTAATGGACATTTGTTTAACATTATCCATTTACATATATAGTTTAAAATATTTACCTACCAATACATTTTCTCACTGTAAAGAGGCTGACTGGTAATTATACCTGGCCAAGTGATTTAAATAGCATACTTGAAATTCTAGCAAGAACTGTAATGAAACAGTAAAATACTCCATTATTGCTTCATTGGACTGAGAAACTAAAAGGCATAAACAATGCTCATGAAAAGTGAATACCCACAACAGCAGTGCATGCCCTCAGATGGCCTCTGCCCCATAAAACTAAGCACTGTCCATGCTATCAATGCCGTTGGCATCCACCTCGATACCAGGCTCCTCACACAAAGAAGAGGGAGCAAAATGGCTAACTGTGGGACACAAACAGCTCTTAAGCTCTGGCAATTCTTGCTTCAGGCGTTCCAACTGCTCCACTTGGAATATATTTGGCTGTTCAGGCATCCAATCATATATCCTATGATGAAACAAACACAAAACACATAAAATAGGGTAATGTGTGTTTACTTAAGACCAGTCTAACTTTTTTTTTTTTTTTTTTTTTAGAAAAATTTGTTTACCGGATGCCTAGTACATCCATATTACAAGAAACTTTTTTTTAAAAAAAGGATGTATAAGCACTAGTTTGACAGGGTGTCTCCCAAAAATGTATATACACTTTAACAGCTGATAGCGCAAATTTTAAAATTAAATGTATTTTAATAAACACTATTTTGTAATTATTCAAAACATGTATATACATTTTTTGGAGACACCCAATACATAAAAGTATTTCTCTTCTCCCCTGACTTTCTGATAATCCAGATTAGCAGCATTTCCTTTTGTACCCTGTGTGCAAAAGAGCTGATTAAAAGGCAACTGAATCAGAAAATGAAATCTGTAGCTTACTGGTGACTCTTCAATTATCTTCTCTCCAAGTCAATCAATTGGCAATGTCTTATTTTTTAGAGGCAGAGCTGAAATTAATACCCAATTCTTACTTCAAATTACAAAGACTAAGATGAGAACTTCTCACCCAGGTGAGAACCATGCTAAAGTCGTGCAATATTGGCAGATATGCCCAGTCACTAGCACAGAAAAGCCCAAGGTGATGGTGGCAGCACTCTCACTGCAGATCAGCAGAGAGCATGGATGTGCATGCCTAAACGTCAAAGACAGGCAACTTACAAGAGTCACCACAAGGCAATCTTAATGATTTCACAGTGGGAGAAAAGTTTCATAAAAACAAGAGACACAGCAATAAACTTTTGGAAGCTGGAAAATAGATGAATAATAAAGTATAATAAAGTGGTTCAGTTAACAGGATAGAAAAGGCCAAATCACAAGCCAGTAATGGGAAAAATGCAAAGGTTGAGTTAAAAGCACCAAATTTCTCCAGCACTGGGAGTGAAAGGGAAAGGAGCTGAAGCAGGGAGGGTGAAGACTTTGAGCATCAGCAAGTTAAATCCCTCCTAACTCCCTGTCCTGAAACCGCCCCTCCCCAACACTAACAAACGTTATTTCAAGTATTAAACAGGAAATCTCTTGGAATAGGGGACTCAACCAAGTGAGGGATTGGACATTTTACAAAACCTCCAGCAGCAGCAGGGAATTAGAGATAGTACATATACATATACTCAATGCTACACAGACATACCCTCCCTTCCCCAGCTGTCTGACCTCACTTGGCTCCAAGAACCCTGGTAGCCAGGCCCACATCCTCTATGTAGATACAGATTCTTCTAGGAACAATCTGATAAGCCAAAAAGTAAATTTCTAAATTTAGACCTCTGATATCACTAGATGTAGATAGTGAAATCCAAGTTAACACACTCCAGCCTCCAACAAGCTTTTTACATGCCAATTTCTTAGGAGAAGCAGCTAAAGATTTCCAGACATCTAAGGAAAATTTCTAGCAGGTGAGTAAAAGAGAAGAAAATTCCAAGAAAACAAACAAAAAGTTCTGCTTTCAGAGAAATAATAGTTTCATAAAATGAAAACAGGGTGTTACACATACAGAAAAAAAGAGCATTAGGGAAAAAAGACAGTCCTTGGAAATGGAAAACACAACAGCAGATGTGAAAACTTGAATAGAATGGGTAAAAGCTAAGGCTGCAGAAATCTTTCCAAGTGGAGCAAAAAGACAAAGGTAAAAACAAAACAAAACAAAACAAAAAACCCCAGAAAGATGGAAGGGACAAAAATCCAAGAAGCAAGTCATGAAACCTTTTGCATTTTCAACAGACTAAAAGGGCTAACAATTGCCCAGCACAGTGGGTGAAACTAGACCCGTAAGACAAGTTTTAGAACCCTGGTGACAAAAAGAAATCCTGGAAACAAAGAAACCATATTTGTGGGAACAGGAATCAACATGGTTTATCAATCCTCAACAGCAACATTGGACTTATGAAGGTTACAGAGAACTATTTCTAAAATTCTAAGGAAATTATTTCTAACATGGAGTTTTATGCCTGGCCACAATGTGGCAAAAACATTTAATCTCTATGTGCACTGTGTTACTATGTAAAGTATATATTTAATTGGGTTGGGGTCAAAAAGGTTTCCAAGTCGTTGCCCTAAAGAAAATTTACAAATGTATTCTAGATGCGGTCATCATTATTTACAGCAAATGCTGTAATAGCAGAGACTAGACAACCACCAAAATGAGAACCAAAATGTTCTTAAATAAATTATAGTAGACACATACAACCATAAATACTCTACAGCCATGAAGAAAGGCAGATTATAGCTGCATGCAACAAAATACAAATAAAGATCAAAGTCATGCAAACTAAATGGTATATTGTTTAGCAATAGAATTAAAAGAAATGTTAACGAGAATAATAATTTGATAAGCAGTTATATGTGAGGGAGGAGATAAGGGAACAGAGTTAGAAAGAGGCTCATGGGGGACTTCACAATTTAATGATAATGTTCTTTAAATATGTTAGTGTATTTTTTAAATTATTTGAGCAGACAATAATTTTTTTTTTTTTTATAAAAAGAGGGACACTGCCAAATTTACTCTACAAAGCAAGTATTATCACCACACCAAAAATCAAGCCATTAGAGAAAGGTAAATAAAGGCCATCTCCGTCATTATCATAAATGCAAAATTTCCAAATATCAGAAAATCAAACGTACCGGTTTATATGATAATATATCATAAAACCATGATGAAATGGAAATCTACTGTGTGTTAATCCCTTTGTAAAAGAAGAGAACAAATTAGTTTCTGATTAACTAAAATACCCTTCCTTATCATAATTCTCCCCAATGTAAAATGAAAGACTATGAATCAATAATCATTCAAAACCTCCTATATAATGTCCAAATTTGATAATGAAAAAATTATAGCATAAGCACATTAAGTACCAGAAGAAACAGCTTTAAAAAATTACGGCATAGGAACTCAGCTAGAGACAATGAAAGGGACAGGTGTAGGGGACTGCCTCTTTTATTGATGGATTAATTGATTTAAGAGAGAGAAACATCGATTTGTTGTACCACTTATTTATGCATTCAATGGCTGGTTCTTGTATGTGCCTAGACCAGGGATCGAACCAGAAACCTTGGAGCAGGCGTCTTCAAACTACGGCCCGCGGGCCACATGTGGCCCGCAGAAGAGTCTGATCCGGCCCGCCAGGTTTTTTGGGCAGTGAGCGCAGCCGAGGTGTTACAGTAGGAATTAGTAGTTCATATAGTCCGGCCCTCCAGCTCTCTGAGGGACCGTGATCTGGCCCCCACTTTAAAAAGTTTGAGGACCCCTGCCTTGGAGTATCAGATGATACTCTAACCGACTAAGCTACCCGAGAACAGGGCCTGCTGCTATATATATATATATTATATATAATTTTAAGCTTTATATGAATACATATACACAAATAGAGTGTGTATATATTGCTTCGAGTAAAAATGAAAACAAATTTTTGAGGATAAAAACCAGTTCCAACACAATCCACTTCACCTGTCATCAGACTCTACTAAGAGCCCAGTACTGGATGTCTCCTCAAAACCCTCCACACTTTCAACACATTCCTGTCCTGATTCATGTTTTAGCTTCTGCCTAAAATGCCTAGCCTGTCAAAACAATTTAACCACACCCCCAAATCCATCTCAATGCTTCCTCTTTAAAATTATTCTTATTGACCTTGGGCCAGGAAGAACTCATTTTCTTTAAGGCTATTTATATCACATAGCATCTTCCTGTTCTCAAGTACATGTCAGTATTTGACTCCAAACAAGTAAGGCCCTTGAGTTGATGGGTCTGCCTAAAATGTGTATACCCTACAAAGTTATACATGATATAACCTCACAATACATTTTCTTGCCTGCAAATAATTACAATCATTCCTTCTTCTTTCTCCTCAAAGAAACAAAAATCTCCAAATTTTTGCTAAAGCAAACACTTCCTTCAAATTGTAGATTTATAACTTTATTTTACCTTTAATTACTTGGATATATGAAATCTGTTGCGTAAAGCAAAATTAACCAAGTAGTTAAGAAGGCACACATTATCTAGGCTGCAATTTTAAAACCAGACTCATTCAGACACAATGGTAAAAAAAAAAAAAAGTTTTATTAAGAAAGTGATATAACTTTATAGGACAAACAGTAATATGAACTAAATCCAAGGAAGGTATTTTTTAAAGCAGGCCTGGTAAGAAGTTCATCACTTACTCTTTGCATGATGCTGCACAAGTATTAGCAAGGGGAGTAAATAACATCCTTTCCAACTCCACATGTCTTTATACTAAGAAACCTTTTCGTTTCTCAGATTAGCGACTCAAACTTACATCTAAACACTCAGGGAACTTATAAAAAAAGAAAATAAAACTATCTGTTCAACAAATACTTGAAGTCTATTCCGTATCAGATATTGTTCTAACCTCTGAAGATGCAGCAATGAACAAAACAGGCAGAGTCTTGCCCTCATGGAGCTTATGTTTGTGTTGGGTATACTGGTGTTGGGGAAGCCAGGCAGAAAATAAACAAGTAAAATATTATGTCAAGCCGAAACCGGTTTGGCTCAGGGGTAGAGCATCGGTCTGCGGACTGATAGGTCCTGGGTTCGATTCCGGTCAAGGGCATGTACCTTGGTTGCGGGCACATCCCCGGTAGGGGGTGTGTAAGAGGCAGCTGGTCGATGTTTCTCTCTCATCGACGTTTCTAGCTCTCTATCCCTCTCTCTTCCTCTCTGTAAAATATCAATAAAATATATTAAAATTATATATCGATATATTATGTCAGATGGTGGTAAATGCTATGGAGAAAAGTCAGCAGTTTGCTGTGAATGGTGGTTGTTATCCGAATTAGGATATTCAGGGAAGACTTTACTGAGACACTGACATTGGGGGTGGTGGGGAGGAAAGGACCCAGAATTTTACTCTCAAGTTTTAAACAGTAACATGATCTGACCTAGATTTAACAGGCACCCTCTGGCTGTTGTGCTGAAGACATACAGCAGGGAGGTTTGGGTGGAAGCACTGGCCAGTGAGAAGGCTCTTTCAATAATGCATGTTGGAAATGAGGTAGCTTGGGAGAGACAACAAACAGTAAACATGGTGAGTTGATCAATTCAGGATATATTTGAAGATAAAATCAACATGATTTTGTTTGACTGGATTTGGGATATGCGATAAAGAACAGAATCATGGAAAGACTCCAAAGATTTGGCCTGAGAAACTGGAAAGACAGAGTTGTTATTTATACTGAAATCGGTTAAATCTATTTAACCAGGGGTGGAGAAGGGAGGGGAGGGGAGGGGGGGTGCATGCAGGAGGCAGCCAATCAATAATGCTCTCTCATCATTTATGTTTCTCTTTCTCCCTCTCCCTTCCTCTCTCAAATCAATAAAAAAATATTTATATATAAAAAGTTTAAATAGAGGTCAAGGAAAAGATCTGAGTTGGAGATATAAAAATTTAGGAATATATAAAGGTACGAAAAGCCACAGAATTGGATAAGATCATTAAGTTGGTGTAGACGGAAGTGGTCTGGGGCTAAAAGCCACCCTCACCCTCAGGGGAACTTAGAGCCCAGTCACCAGAATAAACTTCCCATGTGATTGTGGTAAATTCCAAGTATAAAAAATTCAATTTACAAATGTTAAGATAAATCTCAGGCTGAACTATTGAATTTTAACTTAACTAAGTTTAATCGTATTTATAATGTTATAAAGTGAAAGCTACTTTTTCGCTAACAGTTCATGAAAGTTTTTCATGAAAAACAAATACCTATCATAAATTAGACCATTAACTCCAAATTCCTTCAATTTCTTCCTGTTTTCCGGGTCGTTGGTATCATCACCCCAGCAGAATATGACTAGTCCCTTAGCTTTTGCCTCTTGAATGTAGGATGGGTTTCTGAGCAGATCTTCAGTATGTGCATTTATCCCCTAATGGAAGAAAAATAAGTTACTCATGAAAAAGTAACTTACTGATTACAAATGCTAAATGGTCATATTCTAAATCAGTGTTCTCCAAAGTTGAGCGGGCAGGAAAAGACAATGTACAATTTTTTCTTACACAACTTATATTATCAAGCAAGTGTACAGTCCAGCCATTTTATAATAGACAAATCATAAAATCCACTCAATTACAAAACTTACTTAATTTAGGCATTCAAGGAAATATATATATATATATGTATATATTTTGTTCAAGTAATTGCTTTTGATTCTGAGATCTAATACTCTCATTTTTAAGTAGAACTATATAGGTCAAAGCTAACCAATTAGATGTGTAATGTAACATGAAACTTTATTTCTGCTCTTTAACACAGTTTTAAAAAATGAAAATTAAGAAATTCAAACATAACTTACCAGCAGATTTTCAAACTGTGCAAAACTCATTGCAATAGCAGTTGTCCGAGATCTGAGGTCCATGAGTTCAGGGTAAATATCAGACTTTCCTTGAGTCAAAAATAATATGGGATATTTGTTCTGCTTGTGCCGAACCCTAAAAAAGACAATTAAAAAAATGCTTTTCATTGGGATAATTATAATACATTGTTTTGAAACTTTAGAAAATATATAAAGAATCCACCTCCTCCCCCAAAAATAGCATCCCATTATTGAGATATAATCAACATTAACATGTACATATTGTCTTTCAGCCAAAAAAATACATTTAAAAAAAATTTTTTCTATACAAGAGCTCAGAAATGGGCAACAAGAAAGCCTTTAAGGGCTTATAATTTGGTAAGGAAGATGCTATTATACATGCAATACAGGGTATGATGTATTGACCTTAGGACCCAGTGGCTATGGAGTTTACAGGAGTGAAGGACATCCCAGTAGGTAGTCCTGAGAGGATAAATCAAGGGTAAAGTCTGAGCACTTCCTCACCTCTAACCATAATCTTTATACACTAAGTCCTATCTACAGTAGAAGAGTATGAGGGGGAAAAATGAATATTACTCACATTGTGCAAATATCTGCATCAAATGAAGAAAACACTATTCTTCTCTTTCCAGAATTTTCTAAGACAGTTTTTAAAATGATATCCAAAAACCGATTCATGTCAAAATATGTTGATAAGTTACCATCCCACATTCCATCCTATGTAGAAGAAGCAAATAGGAAAACAAAGGCCATTAACTACTCTGGAATCACAGTGCTAGGAAAAAAAAAAAAAAATCTTGAGAACACCTAGTCCAACTCGTAGTTTACGGGTGAGAAAAGCAAAGACCTGAAAGATCAAATGATGTGCTCATGAACATACCGCTACTTAGCGACAGAGCACCCATCATAATTCAGGTATAGAGACACTTATATGCAAAGCAATTATACCATTAATAGACTTTTATTTTAATAAGATAAATAAAAACGAAAACTATGAAAATTAGAAATCTACTGTAACTTTCAAAATAGTTTTATATATTCTTCATAAACTTTAGGACAAAAGGGCTCCACTACATTTGGTAACTCACGAGTAAACAACAATAAACCCTGGTAAATATCAATAACAAATTTCTCATTCTTTGGATCTTAGGACTATCAAGTAGCCTCATCTGATAAATTCAATAGTTGTTCTCCTCGACCAGAATGTAGGTTACAGGAAGACAAGGCTTTATTCTTTCACTACCTGATCCCAGCACTCAGAAAATACCTGGCCTTTAACAGCTTTTCAATATATAATTATTGAACAAAACAATGACTAAATCTGGGAGTGATTTAAAACACATTTGCAAAAATTTATTTTCCTGGTTAATTATTACTAGCTACTAGCACTTAATAGAAAACTGCTTAGGACATTATTATGTGTTTAGATGGGTAAGATAAAATAAAAACTAATTGAAGTTATAGAGTTCTGACTGTCCAGTGTTTTTTTGTTTGTTTGTTTGTTTTTAAATATATTTTATTGATTTTATACAGAGAGGAAGGGAGAGAGATAGAGAGTTAGAAACATTGATGAGAGAGAGTCATCGATCAGCCGCCTCTTGCACTCCCCCTACTGGGGATATGCCCGCAACCAAGGTACATGCCCTTGACCGGAATCGAACCCGGGACCCTTCAGTCCCCAAGCCGACGCTCTATCCACTGAGCCAAACCGGTCCGGGCTGACTGTCCAGTGTTTTAATTGTTCACTTATAAGCATACCCAGAAACCACCAATATAAATGCACGAGACACATGAATATGGAAATTTCTATTATAATACATTCATCACTACTTTTAAGTAGCCACAAATTAGTATAAGCATAAAATATGCTTTATTGCCTGGCCAGTGTGGTTCAGTGGTTGAGCATCACCCCATGAACGAGGAGGTCATGGTTCAGTTCCCAGTCATGGCATAGGCTCAGTAAGGGGTGTGTGGGAAGCAGCTGATCAGTGATTCTCATCATTAATATTTCTGTTTATCTTTCCCTTACTCTCTCTGAAATCATGAAAAACATTTAAAAATAAATAAATAAAATATGCTTTATTAAAAAGGTCTAAAAGCACTGTGCTTACTGGAAGAAATCACAGTAAGTTTTCGGTTTCACTTACTCCATTAAAGCAAAAAGATAGGAATGAATGTGTTTAAAAAACAGAGGGAAAGGGAAAGAAGAGAATACAAAAAGAATTACTTACCCTTTGTTGGCAGATCCACTTTATTTCTATGTTATACCCCACATCTTCTGGCAAAGACTCTAAAACCTAGAGTTTTGTTTGTTGGTGGTGAATTTTGTTTTATTTTTGGTGAAATGAATGGTAGAATAAGAGGAAAAAAGGAAAACAAAATTATTTTAAAAAGCAATCTGTAAGAAAACATATTGCTAGCAAGAGTAAAATGCTTTCAGCATTAAATCACTAGCTTTTCTCATATTCAACTGACAATCTCACTGATTAAGAGAGTCAAAAGAAATTAAACAGCAAAAGCAATAGTCCTAGGTAGTATCCCCGATAACTGATCAATACTACCTCAAAGATGGATCCTTAACCTAAAATTCTTCTCACTGTTACTACTGGACATCCAAAGTGAACCGCAATAAACTTATACAACCTCAAGGATTTAAGAAAATTATTTGTTGTGTTTTCTGAATTTTATCCAAGTATATCAATATACTAATACTAAGGTATGATTATATGAAAAACCATGTTTCCTAACTTGTTTGGAAGGTGGTGATGCTTAACAATATCATGCTGATAACTCCCTGAAAAGATGTTATCTCCAAATGAAAGATTATGCTAAAGTTCATAAGTTAAGGTTATGAATATATAAATGAACAAATAATATGGTGTCAACCTATTTAAACTAAGTTATCTAGACATTTTGCAATAAGACCATTTTGGCAGCATAAGTTAAAAATAAAATGGAAATTATGAAGCCAGGTTATTACCCTACAAAGAGCTGACTTGATTAGTCTTCAAACATGAAGGCTGGGTAAATACAGAAACAAGGCAAAATAAATTTGAAACAGATTGTGTTTTTAACTTCAATTTATTTCACAAGTTTAGAAACCATTTAACATAGATAATAAGTATGATGTTTGATTTTATAACAGCAAATAAAGCACACTAAAAAGACAATGTAATAGTAAGAACATAGCTTGGGAAGCCTGGTGACCTGGGAACTAGCCCTCTGATACTAACCAGCTGAAAAGTACAGTACCTAAAATAGGTTGTACTCAATTTTGTGAGGGGCTTTTGACTTTTCCCCCCTAATATCTTTAACAATATTAGTTTAATATACCTGTCACTATTTTTTTTAAATAGATTTTTACTGATTTCAGAGAGAAAGGGAGAGGGAAAGATAGAAACATCAATGATGAGAGAGGATCATTGACTGGCTGCCTCTTGCATGCTGCCCACTGGGAATCAAGCCTGCAACCCGGACATGTGCCCTTGACGGGAATTGAACCCAGGACCCTTCAGTCCACAGGCTGACTATCTACAGAGCCAAACCAGCTGGGGCACCTGTCACCTTTCTATTGGACCAACACAAAAATTTAAAAAAAGAGGAAAAATAGTATATACTACTATATTAATAGTTCTGAGATTGTTAAATATCAAATTTGCAGAAAGATCCTTCTTTAGCCCTCGCCAGTTTGGCTCAGTGGAGAGAGGGTGGGACTGCAAACTGAAGGGCCCCTCGGAGGTTCTATTCTGGTCAGGGGCACATGCCTGGGTTGTGGGCTCGATTCCCAGTTGGGAGCATGCAGGAGGTAGCAAACCAAAGATTCTCTCTCATCACTGATGTTTCTCTCTCTCTTCCCCTCTCCCTTCCTCTCTAAAATCAATAAAAAATATATTGTTTTAAAAAAGATCCTTCTTGCCGAAACCGGTTTGGCTCAGTGGATAGAGCGTTGGCTTGGGAACTGAAAGGTCCCGAGTTCGATTCCGTTCAAGGGCATGTACCTTGGTTGCGGGCACATCCCCAGTAGGGGGTGTGCAAGAGGCAGCTGATCGATGACTCTCTCTCATCGATGTTTCTAACTCTCTATCTCTCTCCCTTCCTCTCTGTACAAAATCAATAAAATATATTTAAAAAAAAATCCTTCTTTATACTGAGAAGACTGTATTTGGCCTTTTTGGGGCTTTGAAATGTCTCTGTGATCCCATTGTGATGTTAAAGTGAGTGAATAAATGAGTGTGTATTGAACTTATTTGACTAAGCAAATATTGTCAAACCTTTCAGAAACAATTTTAAAAACTTTATTCCATTCTATGTAATCACAAATTTTCTAAGAACTAAATGACTTCAGAATTTTGGAATAGGAAGAATTATTTTACTTAGCTGGGCTTCAAAAATATCTGAAAAAATTGCCGAAACCGTTTAGGAAATGAAGCCAGTAGAATAATAGGCAGACCCAGCATAGCTAAGGAGAGGGTCTGGTGCCCATATAGGCTTGCCGATACTGTTAGATAGATTCCTGTATAAATTGTCTAGTTTTAAAATATTCATGCTAGTTTTTGTTATACTTTTTCAGAGTAAATTCTTTAAATCTGTGTCTCATTTTATGTAATGAGGGTCCTTATTTTCTTTGGAGAATCTAATTTCTCTTCAGAAGTTAAGGAACAGTTAAATGCCTCTCTTATCATTACATCTCCCCCCTTCCACTCCTTGTTCCATGCCCTCTTCTTCCTTTTTATATACAGAAATATGTGAATTTCCTATTCTTATCAAATTAACCAACTGATATCAGAATTTGTATTCATTTAAGCAGATAAGTTACTATATCTTTTCTTTAAAGTAGCATAGGTACACCTCATAATATATCTTCTTTATAATGCATCATTGATGACAAGTTTATATTAATACTAAAGGCCTAATGCACGAAAACCATGCAAGAATAGGCCCTTGCAACCTCGGCTGCCTCATGTTCCCCCTCCCCCCTACTTGTTCTGGAAGGTCGTCTGGAAGATTGTTCTGGAAGGCCGTTCCACTGTCCAGTCTAATTAGCATATTAGCTCTTTATTATATAGGACTGCTTTCGATATAACCATATTAGTACCCATTTAAGAGACTAAAATTATTCGTATATAACAGAATTAATGAGATAGCCTTGCCCTAGTTTTCCTAAGGAACTTACCATCTTAAGAGAAGGAAATGGCTGATTTTCAGATAAAGAATTTTCTTCTTCAACCACAGATTCTAAAAAATTGAAATTATAAAAACTCAGTAGATAAAAACAAACATTTTTATCACTAAGATCTCTTCCTAAATTTGTTGGCAGAAAAAAAAAAGACATGCTAAAGTAATTATGAAATCCTTGCATATGTAGTGTTTAAAGACTCTTATATTTATTATTTTTAGCAATTAAACCCCTGGTTTTTAAAATAAGCATCCTTTTTGAAGACTGGTATGCAACATTTAACAGAAACATCATAGTTTGTGGTCCCAACAATGACTATTTTCTTATAATAGTTGTAATACTTCTATTAAAAAGGATAGTCACAAGATATGATTTGTTATTTCTTAATGGAATTAAGAGCTATGTCATCTTGCTAATATTATCTGAAATATCAAAATCATCTCAGAAGTTAGAAATTAAGAGAATCTATATAACCACTAATGTATTGTACTTTGGTTACCACTACATTTAATCCAAAATAGATTCCAGAGCAAAAAAAATTAATATCAAGCTTTCTTTAACAAAAACAAACAACAACAAAAAGGGCTGCTTGGTGTGGCTGAGTGTTGATCTATAAACCAGGAGGTCATGGTTTGAATCCTGGTGAGTGCATTTGCTCAGATTGCAGGCTCGATTCCCATGGCGGGGTGTGTAGGAGGCACCCAATCAATGATTCTCTCTCATCGTTGATGTTTCTCTCTCTCTCTCCCTTCCTCTCTGAAATCAATGGCTTGAAATACATAAAAACATTTTCCCCACCCTATAAAGATTTACACTTTAGTTGAAGAGAAGGGCATAAACAAAAATAAAGGTTAACAAAAAGAAAAGGATACACTAAGCTTCAAACGAATGGTATGAACTATTATGTCCCATGGGAGGAGAAAGTAAAGTGGAATTACAAAGGGATTTTGTGGGCAGGACAAGCTTTGAGAAACCTGAGGCACAGTCAACTACTCAAGGTCACAATTGGTAAATATTAGGTAGAGCTGCCTTCATTTTCCTGGCTCCTATGCTTGCTATATTCTCATTTTGTAATGTGAAGAATGTTGGAAATATTGAAAGGTACAAAATAATAAAGACCTCTAATCATAAAGGTAAGAAAACTCTTAAAAGTAAAAAATCATGGTTACTATATAATGACATATATGCACTTGAAGATTAATATATGTAAAGTTTTCATGTTTATAAAATTACTTTTAGATAGTACTGTATTATATTCATTAAAATGACCAAGAGTGTGTCAAAAAGGATAAGGAAATATTGTATATATGCTAATTATGAAATGAAAACTGTTTCCATATTTGTACATACCTTTTAGATCTTTAGATTTTAGTGCAGTCACATGAGTGAGCTAGAAAACGCACACAAAATGCAATCGTTAGAAAAAGCCTTAGTTTATGAAGAACTTTAACTTGAAAAGCTAGTTAGAGAAAACTATAATATGTAGAACTGTAAGTTTAATAAGAGTAAGCTCTAACCACTATATATATATTACACACACACACATTCATACATATACACACAAACACACACACACACACACACACACACACACACATATATATATAAAATATGTTCATACATACACATAAGATCATAATCAAATATCCAAGTAGGGAAGAATATAAAGATTCTTAAGTTAGGAAACTTATACTCAATCAACAATTTATTTAGGTATCCAATGAGAATAGAAAGAAGGATCATATAAGATTGCATGGAATAACAAAATATACAAAGATCTTATATACTGACATAAGTATAAAACCAACAATAGCATAAAAGGCCAATTGTAAAGTAGTGAGTTATATAAAGAAAGGCTAAAGTAGAACAGAGGCAATCTAAAATTATGGCTGAGAAGGGTTGACAAAGACTTACAGCCTAGCCCAGTGGTTGGTAAACTCGTTAGTCAACAGAGCCAAATATCAACAGTACAGGATTGAAATTTCTTTTGAGAGCCAAATTTTTTAAACTTAAACTTCTTCTAACGCCATTTCTTCAAAATAGACTCGCCCAGGCAGTGGTACTTTGTGGAAGAGCTACTACACTCAAAGGGTCAAAGAGCCACGTGTGGCCCACGAGCCGCAGTTGGCCGACCATGGGCCTAGCCTCTTGATATATGCAAAAACCAAGGGTTTTCGTGAAAACAGAGAAGACAGATGGATCGGCATAAACCCATTCTTCCGAACAGAACAGAAAACCAAAGCATAGACTCTATGCATGCTGACTATATTATCTCCATGTGCAAAGAGAACATTACCATATATAGACAAGTACAGATAGTCTTAAAATAAAAGATTGTTTACATTTTATGTATTATTACTACCTTTAACAACTGGAGTTGGTCAAATGTTAATTCCTTTACTGGAATTTCAAATAATTCTACAGGATCAGCCTCAAATTTCTAAAGAAAAAGAAAAATAGGCCCACGATTATTACTGAATGTTTACCCCAGAGGGGACTAATACCTTAATTTACTGAATGAGGAGAACAATTGTTTGATGACTACAGTGAACCATGTAGAGGACTACATGGTTACCTAACACTACATCTTAGCTCTTAAATTCTGGCTTTTGTTTTTAATGTAAGCGGTAGTGCTTGAAAGAAAGAAAACAGCTGGGAGCAAGCTATAGTACTGAGACTCACTGAAAACAAAGCCAGAGGTTCAGTGATTTCCTCTATTTCCTGTCATCCTGTATATATATTTTATTCACCATATAACTAAGCCACATGACTAGGCAATCAGCATGCAAGTACTATGTAAGAATTAATTTCTGTCAATAAGCTTTTAACCTTTCCTAAACCTTTTAAACTTAAGTTTGGTTAAGAATAGCCACAGAAATCAATTATTAAAAATGTCTGATTAGCTATAAGTGTAATACTTAACAGGAACTTTATTATAAATGCTTTCCCCTTGAGCAAATGTTTGGGCAAAAGTAGGTTTATAGTTGTAATACAAATAAATAATAGGTAATAAAAGAACAAACTGTTTTTGCATACTCAAACTCACAACAGTAAAACTACGTTTGCACACCCCTATATATTAAAATCTATTACTTTTACACTTGTTTATATACATATGGTATGAGCTTGTACATGCATACAGTTTTTCTGTGAGAATACATAAGAAATTATTAAGAGTAAAGGGAAAGGCAAATTTATATTCATGTCATAATCTTATAAACTACTGCTTTTATTGAAAAATACCAGATTAAAAGTTAAAACTAAAAATATACACAATTCGCCCGAGACCGGTTTGGCTCAGTGGATAGAGTGTTGGCCTGCGGACTGAAAGGTCCCAGGTTCGATTCCAGTAAAGGGAATGTACTTTGGTTGTGGGCACATCCCCAGTAGGGGGTGTGCAAGAGGCAGCTGGTCGATGATTCTCTCTCATCGATGTTTCTAACTCTCTATCCCTCTCTTTTCCTCTCTATAAAAAATCAATAAAATATATTAAAAACAAATAAAAATATACACAATTCATTATTTTCATTCCCCAATTAACTCATTAGATTCAAATTAAGAGCAAAACAAAGAAACTATTTTCTTAGAAGAAAAAAGAGCAAGACAAAATCTGATGATAAAGAGGAATCAATAATACTCTTCAACTAATTCTAATAGATTTTTATTTAAAAAAATTTTTTTATTGTTGGAAGTATTACATATGTTTCCATTTACTTCCCCCGGCCCCCCGATCCCATGTAGTACTAATAGATTTTTAGAAATTAGAACTAGATTCATTAGTTTCCCCACAGCAAAAACCTGCTCCATTTCTATTACATTATTCTACTTCTGTCATCTAACGGGTACATCTCCTTCCCTCCCTCCCTCTCCTAATACATTTCACAGAAACAGAAAGGTCCTTTTCTATACATTATAGTAATCCCAACTCAAGTTACTGATCAGAATCCAATAGCAGGCAGAGCCAGGTGCCTTGTTGTCTACTTACACAACATGCAGAATCTGGTACAGTGAGCAAACTAGCCTTAACTTCAAACCAGCTCAGTGGAAAATAACACTTAAAACCATTAAAAAGAAAAAATTTTTAAAGAAAGTGCTAAATAACTCCCAGTTGTTTAAGTCCCTAAGAAATCATTTTATTAATTTGTATACTGAAGTTTAGGCAGTTGTGATATAAAATTATCACAATTCTATTTGTACAATTACAATTTTTAAGAAATTATGTGCATTTTCAAATCTCTATCAAGCCATCCTCTCCACTCTCAAAAGTCTCAGGCTTACCTTATCTTTGGCCCACATAACTGTACCTCTTGCCTCTATTCTCTGTCTTCTTTAAATACCCCCTATGTCAGATATCAAATTATTAATCTGGAAGTTTAGTCCTGAACATTTCCCTTCTTGGCTCAAAACCCCTTCACAGGGGCCTCCACTATCTGGCTCCAAAGCACTTCTAATTGTAGTTTTCATTGTGATCCTTCCCATACATACTTCCATATGTATTCCACAGCCAAATCATAGTAGTCTATTAATTTGAGAAAGACCTTGAAGAAGAAAAAAGGGAAACTAGAAAACAAATTGGTAGCTTCCTCTCCTGCCTCAATATAGAGACAATGGCAGGGTGATAAACTACCTAAAATGTTCTTTTGTTAGATAACTAGAGGATGGGTGCACAAATTCGTACATGGGTGGGGGTCCAGCTGGCCTGCCCTAATGGGGGTTGATCAGGCTAGGCTGGCAGGGGAGGGGTTGTGGGAGGTTGGCTGCTGGCCTGGAGGAAGAGGGGCCCCTGTGGGAGTGGATGCAGGAGGTTGGGGGGCCAGTTGGCCATCACAGTGTGACTCATAGCAAATGGTCAATCTGGCATCTAGTCGCTTGGCTTTTATATATGTTCAGCAATATAAAGAACCTACTCTTGGAGATTGATATTCTTATCTCTCAATGTTGTAGGAGCTTGAGAGAGACAGGGATTGGCAGTAACTCACCAAGAAAATTAATTGGCCAACTCTATTTAATAAATACTTATCTATGTATCTTATAAACGAAAGAATTTCAGCATACCTTTTTCATAGTCAAACAACATGTAAGGTCATGATACACCACAGGAACAAAATCTTTTGAAAGATGTACGTCAAATTCCACAAAGGCTGCACCCTGAGAGAAATAAAGGAAACAAGTATTTTAAAAAATATTTATGTCATACTACAAGGACATAAAAAAAATCTATTGTTCAATATAAAATCATACACTTGTACAAAAATAAAAAAAGCAACCCAAAACTTTCCCATGAATTTAATGCTATACTTTAAGCTTTATCCTAAAAGGTAATTTCTTCTCTTAAAACCATTATAAGTATTTTCCTTTTTCAATACCACAGCAATTTTTTCCTGGAATCAAAATAGGAAAGATCTTAATGAAATCCTCTCAAAAAGCAGATACCAGATACCTTGCAAGTTCTCTAACAGGGATCTTCACATGTGTGTGCCCTGACTAGGGTTGGAAACAACAACCTTGGCTTATTGGGAATATGCTCTAATCAACTGAGCTACCCGGCCAGGGCTAATTCCATTGTTTTCATCTCAATCTGCACCATAAATCTAAATACAATTGTCTACAGATGCTTCACTGTAGAAACATGTTCAGAAGACACATAAATACTCCCCCTTTTAACATATTAATGCAGACTAGAGATTTCCCAGATCCAGATTTATCTACTTTTCTACCTTTGGACCACAACAGTTCAAAGATGTTTGAAGAAAGAGAGGTTCACTTACATGACTGGCAGCATTTCTTAAAGAAGCAATAGTATTTTCTTGAACTTTAGCAAGCCTAAAAGAGAATACATTGAAATATAGTTATCATATATTATAGAAAAGATTAAGAAAACAAATATAATAAAGAAGCCAACTATATATTCAACAATGGAAATAGTACTTATTCTCTACTTTGCGATTAATTTTGCCATCCCCAAAATAAGACTGTGACCATCACTTGGTTGGTGTGTGCATTTATTCCATAAATTATAACTGTTTACAAGCATATCCTATGCCAACCCAATTTCTCCAAGTGAAGTGGCCAATTAAGGAAAAGAACCCTTACAATGGCATGAAGTAGTAGAGACACAGAAACTTGCTCCTTGTGATGAAGCCTAAGATGACTTAATACTGGCAGACGTGGGCAATGGGAAAAGGCTGACACACCAACAGGGTGGAAGTATGGAAAGTATATTAAGAACAGGTGAGGAAAAGACCAAGATAGGGCAACATGCCAAAAGTTAGGACCACAATACAGGCACAGTGATGTCATCTGGCTGACTCATTCGGCATTAAGCTTTTCCTCCTAGCTTTCTAGTTTGATTGTTATTTTAATAAAGTATAGTTGGTATACAATATTATATTAGTTTCAGATATACAACAGTGATTATATTTATGTCTTGTGATATAATCATCACAATTAGTTATTATATTATTGATTATTCCCTTTCCTGTACATTACCATCCCCCATGCTAATTCATTTTATAACTGAAAGTTTGTACCTCTTATCACTCTTCACTTTTTGCATCCATTCCTTCACTCTCCTCCCCTGTGGGGGTTCTTATCTTCAATCATCAATTCAATAAAATATTAAAAAACACTTAACCAGAATCTTAGAAGAGAGTTAGTCTCTAGTTAATCTGAGCTGGGAATCCCAATTACATATTAAATTTAAATTTCAGGGTAAAAATAAAAGAATCATTTGACCTTTGGTCAGCTCAATTAATTTAATATTATCAAGTTTGAGCTACCAAATGCTGACGCTGCTCAAATATGCAACATACTTAGCAGTTGTTGTAGAATTCCCTGCACCTCGATGTCCAACATCCAATGGTGTTCTTGGCTTCCAATACTTGGAAAATGAAGATTTCATGTCACAACTGTATCCTGGTAATGGCTTAATAATTATATAGTCAACTTTTGTAGGGAAAAAAAAGGGGGAGGGGGGGACAAAAATAAAGACAATTAAAAAGACCATGATGATATCAATTATATTTAAATACCATTCAAAACAGCTTTATCAATCTATATCAAATAGGAAAGAAATCAACAAGTCAAAATTGATTCAAAGTAAAGTTTACAGAAAATTCAATAGATATATCCTGTTGTTATATTAATGCTTTAAGATAAATCATTAATTTAACCTGTAACATTTTCAAAAGCCAATTTGAAACTAATAAAAATTTTAATTTAACATATGCTTCTTTGTAAAGGCCCACCCTGCTTCTCTCGGCTTACCTCTCACTTTGCCTATTGTTTTTCTGGAATTTCTGCTCATGATAGGAAGAGTGAGGACTCCAGCACTTTTCCCACTCTCTTCAATGGTGGATGATAAGAGACATGCTGTACCCACATGTCCAGGAAGAGTATCACCCTGAACTACATGTTCACCGAGATCTTCCTGAAAAAAGGAGGTTTAAAAAAATCTGAATTCTTATACTTTAATATTTTCCATTTAAAGATCAAAACACTCTATGGAGGAAGATCAGTAAGAAATACAATTAATTTTATATCCATGTAATTCTTAAGAGCATTTTTTGGTAATAAACAGTATTTTTTTTTTTTTTTGCATATAATACTTTAAAAGACTTTATGTGTTACTTTATTAATCATAACTCTGCTGATTTGCACTTCTGATCCTCTAATATGTATTAGGTGAATTTGAAACACTAATTAAAAGTTGCTAAGTAGCCAAAGCCGATTTGGCTCAGTGGTGGAGCGTTGGTCTGCGGACTGAAGGGTCCCAGGTTCGATTCCGGTCAAGGGCATGTACCTTGGTTGCGGGCACATCCCCGGTAGGGAGTGTGCAGGAGGCAGCTGGTCGATGTTTCTCTCTCATCGACATTTCTGGCTCTCTCTCTCTGCCTTTCTCTCTGTTAAAAATCAATAAAATATATTTTTAAAAAAAAGTTACTAAGTAGCACTAGCTGGTTTGGATCACTGGATAGAGTCTTGTACTGTGGATCAAAGAGTCCCAGGTTCAATTCTAGTCAAGGGCACATTCCTCAGTTGCAGGCTCTTACCCAGCCTGGACCCTGATGTGCAGGATACAACCAATTGATGTGTTTCACATAGATATTTCTCTCTTTCCTTCTCTCTTCTACTCTCACTAAAAACTAATGAAAAAATAACCTGGTTGAGGATTTTTAAAAAAGTTACTAAGTACTTTTATATTCAAAGACTAAGCTATACTGCCCTAGCCAATTTGGCTCAGTGGACAGTATGTTGGCCTGAGGAGTGAAGGGTCCTAGGTTAAATTCCAGTCAAGGGCACATGCCTGGTTTATGGACTCAATCCCTATTAGGGGACATGCAGGAAGCACCCAATCAATGATTCTCTTTCATCATTGATGTTTCTATCTTTCCCTCTCTCTCTTACTCTCTGAAATCAATAAAATATACCCTATATAATAAAGAACTAATATGCTAATTAGACAGGACAGATACCAGAACAATTGCCCAGATGACCTTCCATATAAAGCTGGTCTATGAGAGCCGAGGCATCCGGGGTTAGGAGTTGTGGTTAGGAGCGATCAGGTGAGTGGTTAGGGGCAATCAGACAGGCAGGCAGAGGCAGTCAAGGATGACCACTCAGTTAGGTAAATGGTTAGGGACAATGAGGCTAGCAGGCGAGTGGTCCCAGATTGCAAGAGGGGATGTCTGACTGCAGATTTAGGCCCAATCCCACAGGAATCCCATAGGGCTTAAACCTGCAGTCAGACATTCCCTGGGGGGTCCCAGATTGCAAGAGCTGGTTGAGCTGAGGGACTCTCCTTTCCCCCACACCCTTGTGAACAAATTTCATGCACCAGGCCTCTAGTCCTATATAATAAAAAGGTAATATGTAAATAGACCAAATGACAGAACCAAGCAAAGCATAATATGCTAATGATATACTAAGGCTGCTCAACTGCTCGCTATGATTTGCACTGACCAGCAGGTGGCAGACAGTCAACTTGTCAATCCATTGCTATGATGTGCACTGACCACCAGGGGGAAGATGTTCCGACTGGTATGTTAGCTTGCTGCTCGTGTACGGCCAACTGGGACTGAGCGAGATGGGCCGGACATGCCCTTGGCCCTCCCTTGATCCTTACCCAGCCCGATTGTGGACCAGTGGGGTCCCTCAGCCTGGCCTGCACCCTCCAGGACCCCGTGGGGGATGTCAGAGAGCCAGTTTCAGCTCAATCCTGCAGTCCAATCCCCTTGATAGGATGCAAGACGCAGGGCAATGGCAGGTAGGAGCTGCAGGCAGGATTGGATAATAGGTTTTGGCCCAATGAGGCCACCTAGAGGGATCCCACCCATGCACAAATTTGTAGGCCTCTAATCTACACTAATAAAAGAGAAAGATGCACATTAACTGTACCTCCGTGATGCCCACCAGCCAATCAGGAGCATGCAAATAAACCCAATAAAGATGGCAGGTTAACTTGCATACGCAGACACGGAGTGAATACTGAAGGCTGAAGGCTTGCCTCTGCTGTGGCCCGGGTCCCAGGTACTGGAGGAAAACCAGTGCTGGTCGGGAAAGAAGGCCCACTGCACAAATCTTTGTGCAATAGGGCTCTAGTATATACATAAAAGACTAAGGTATACCTGTAGTGAGCTTTTAATGTATATTTTATAAAAACACATCCACACAGTGACAGAGGGATGTTAACTCTCCAGGAAATCGAACACTTTGATATTATAAACTGAGTAATTTTTTTTTAAGCAGCCTAGTTTATAAGTAAAACTAGAGGCCTGGTGCACAAAATTCGTGCACCCAAGGAGTCCCTCACCTTGGCCTGTGCCCTCTTGCAGCCTGGGCGCTCTCAAGGAATGTCTGACTTATGGCTCTTTAGACATCCTTAGTGCTGCCATGGAGGCAGGAGAGGCTCCCATCACCACCACTGCACTCGCCAGTGTTGGACCTGGCTTTTGACTGAGCAGCTCTTCCCTTGTGGGAGTGCACTGACCACCAGGGGGCAGCTTCTGCATTGAGCGTCTGCCCCCTGGTTGTCAGTGTGCACTATAGCGACTGGTCATTCTACTGTTCAGTCTATTTGCATATTAGTCTTTTAAAAAATATATTATATATATACTTTTATTGATTTCAAAGAGGAAGGGAAAGGGAGAGAGAGATGGAAACATCAATGATGAGAGAGAATCGTTGGTCAGCTGCTTCCTGCACATCTCTCACTGGGGATCAAGCCCACAACCCAGGCATGTGCTCTTTACCAGAATCAAATCTGGGACCCTCCAGTCTGCATGCCGATGCTCTATCCATTGAGCAAAACTGGCTGGGGCTAGCCTTTTATTATATAGGATACTATTTCCAAAACTGCTAACTAAATGAAAGGGAAGTTAGACTGTTCAGGGGATTACTGAAAGGTAGGTCCTGCCTTGTGGGTGTAGTTCAGTGGTTGAGCGTTGACCCATGAATCAAAGGATTCCAGTTCATTTCCTGGTCAGGGCACAAGCCTGGATTTCTGGCTTGATCCCCATTGGGGGATGTGCAGGAGGCAGCTAATCATGCTCCTCTCTTATCATTGATGTTTCTCTCTTTCCCTCCCCTTTCCTCTCTGAAATCAATAAAAATATATATTTTAAAAAAAGAAAACATTCAACCAAAACTTCATATTTTTATAATAAAATCCTACAGGTCATATTACTTAGGTAAGATATAATTATAGTTTTTTTTTGTTTTTGTTTTTTAAAAAAAGAAAGTATTTTGCCAAAACAGGTTTGGCTCAGTGGATAGAGCATCGGCCTATGGACTTAAGGGTCTCGAGTTCGATTCCGGTCAAGGGCATGTACCTTGGTTGCGGGCATATCCCTGGTGGGGGTTGTGCGGGAGGCAGCTGATCAATGTTTCTCTCTCATTGATGTTTCTAACTCTCTATCTCTCTCCCTTCCTCTCTATAAAAAATCAATAAAATATTTATGTTTAAAAAAAAAAAAAAAAAAAGAAAGTATTTTGCTCTAACCAGTTTGGCTCAGTGGATAGAGTGTCAGCCTGCGGACTGAACTGTTCCAGGTTCAATTCTGGTCAAAACCTGGTTGCCGGCACATCCGCAGTAGGGCATGTGAAGGAGGCAGCTGATTGATGTTTCTTTCTCATCGATGTTTCTAACTCTCTATCCCTCTCCCTTCCTCTCTGTAAAAAAAAAAAACAACACAATAAAAATATAGTTTTTACAAGTATTTTTAGTTATTTTTTGGGGGAAAATACTGTAAATTCCATCTAAAGCAAAATAGCTAAAGCCACTCACAAAAGCTATGTCTAAAGGGAATCATCAAATTAAACAATTCAAAGATTATAATTTTAATTACATACAACAAATGTTACTCATTGGGTTTAAATCCATTCTGAATTGTGCCATTTTCAAGAAATCATAGCTACTTGCTATTGCTGGGCAAGGCATATTCCCTATCTCAAAGATTTAAACTTTAGAAAAGTAAAAATGGGAGTGAAAGTGCCAAAAAAAGAAGAATGTAGGGAAAGTGATACACATAACTACTGAGCCAGGCCCAATAGAGCAAGGACCTCAGGGGAGGGCTCGGTGTTATTTGTGGAAAGCATCTGAGCAGGAGTGAACTAAAGCTCCAGTATAAGTGTCACAGAACCTCCAGAAACTTGGCAGCACAGACTCTGAACAACCTGGCAAAATTTTTATAGCAACTTTTTTTTAATTACGTATTTACAATATCAAACAAAGCTGCAAAAAGTAATCATTGTTACAATAAATTCTTTTAATAAAACTAGAGGCCAGGTGCATGAAAATTCATGCATTGGAGGGGGGTCCCCTCAGCCCAGCCTGCCTTCTCTGTCTGGGAACCCTTGGGGAAGGAGGTGACCTGGCAATCAGGGAAAGATGACGCCCAATCACACCTCTGCTTTTGCTACTGCTGGCAGCGCAAGCCTCAACTGGCCCTGGTTACCTGAGCCTCAGGCAGCCCTGGGTGGCTGGGCAGCCACGATCTGAGGCCTGCCTGCACCTCAGGCAGGCCCTGGGCAGTTGGGGGCTGAGGGGACTGGGGGACTCCGGAGGCAGGCACCCAGAGCGGCCATGCTCCACTTCGCATGCCACCTTGGCAGAGCTGAAGGGACTGCGAATGCTGCCATCTTTAAGGGTGGGGCAGTCAATTAGCATATTCCCTCCTTATTGGCTCTGGGCTCTGCCATCTTTGAGGGCAGGACAGTCAGTTAGCATATTCCCTCCTTACTGACTGTGGACACTGCCATCTTTGCGGTGGTGTGAGGGTCAATTAGCATATACCCTTCTTTATTAGATAGGATGCCTCAATAAATCACACTTTGGTCATAAAAAGGGCTTAATCATGCTAGTTACATCAGGTTGCCCAGACAGTTATACAGCCTACCTGTCTCTATTTATCCTTGGAGGCTCCTTTTGATGTAAATCATTTATATTTAGAACAGACACAGACATGAAAACATCTGGTCTTGCTTTGAAGCCAATTTTGCTCAAGTTCTCAATTATATTCTTAACTAGCGGCCCAGTGCATGAATTCACACACAGGTAGGATTCCTCAACCCAGCTGGTGATCAGGGCTGATTGGAGCCATCTAGCCCAAATCCTGAGCAGATCAGGGGCTGGCTGGCTGGCCTGTGCTGTCTGCCCCCTGGTGGTCAGTGTGCATCATAGTGACTGGTTGACCGGTCATTCAGTTGATGGATCATAATGGTTGATTACACTTTCATATATACAGATAGTACTTGTGTCTGTCAACTCAAGTTTTTTAAGCCTGCTAAAATATATAGAAGATTAAGCATCTAAAATGCTGTACAAACCATAGGTCTATATAAATCAGACTCCAAAATGAAAATATATGCAAAAATAAGTTCATGTCTGCATTCCTTCTCAACCACCTCAAGTTAAAGAATTACTCACCTCAAAAAAATCAAATATTAGTTCCAAATTATCTGGTTCCATTGTCTGTATGCTATACTCTGTCCAACGATCAGGTTGTAAGCCATATCCACATTCTGGCTGTGAATGCTTGCACTTGAACTCAGTGTCGCTTATTAAGGATATCTCCAGGGTATTGGACATTTTTTGAAGAAGAGTGGGAGACACCCTATCATCATCATCTTCCTCCAGACCCTCTAGTGTCAGCTTCACTCTAAACAAGAAGAAAAAATAATAAATTTCAAAAAGTGGAACTAAAGGTAAACTCAAAAATGTTATCTAAATGTTAAAATTTAGAAGTGCTCCCTGAATTTGAAAAATCTTCAAATAATAAAATACAAGGTGGAACAAAAGTAGGTTTACAATTGTGAGTACATGAAACAGTTTATTTTTATATTACTTATTATTTTCCATACAGCGACTGTAAACCCACTTTTGCCCTACCCTGTATATTATACCAAGTCTATACACACTATAGGTTAAGGCGTTAGCTATATTTTGTAAAATACTGGTATTTTAGCCCTAGTTTGGCTCAGTGGATAGAGCGCTGTCCTGTGTTTGATTTCAGTCAAGGGCACATGCCCCGATTTAGGGCTCAACCCTCCAATAGGGGGTGTGTAGGTGACAGCCAATCAATGATTCTCTCTCATCACTGATGTTTCTATTTCTCTCTCCCTCTCCTTTCCTCTCTGAAATCAATAAAAATACATTTTTTAAAAGCACTGATGTTTTAATCTACATATATTTCTGTAAAGTATAAAAACGAGACAAGTGCTCATTAAGCCTAAGGCCGTTTCCATTAATTCTTTGGTTTTTAAAAAATGAATCTAAAAAGATATTTACAATTACCCTCCATCTATACCTGGCCATCTCAATTTCTTTTGAGAAGTCTCACAAATGGCTATGCATAAAACAAGCACAAAATTGAACCATATTCTGCTAGTGTGCATTACGACTGTTAGGAGTTGGAGATTATAAACTATTTTCCCCTTTCTTCTGTCTTACCACAGTGAATCAGGGGTACTCTGTGAAAAGTATATTAAAGAAAAACACTGTATTAACTACATATATTTGTCTGTATGTATCTTTTATGTGTGTCTTTGTACTTTTTTAAACAAACAAAAACAACATATAAATTAAGAGTCCAAAACTCTTATAGGCCTCACAGCAATGAAAACAAAGACCAATTACCCAAGCCACACGGCCAACAGAGACTAATCTACTCCCGATAAAAGGCAATTACGTGCACGGAGCACATGTAATGCCAAAAAGTACTCAATTTTAGAATATACATGAATGTACCAACTGAAATGCACTTAAACAATTTTAATATTATTAATGTAGGAAGTAACGTTAATGTATACAGCAACGATTTTCAACATTTTTTATATCACAGCACACATAAACTGATTAATAAAATTATGCAGTATGCCAAAAACATTCAATTGTTTGCCAGTCTGACCCAAAAAATAGATATGATTTTGATTCATTCACACTGGATGACTATTGTTGTGTTGGCTATGGCTATTTCTTTTTTATTTGACAATATAAGGGAAAAGAGATGATTGTCCCTGACTAAAGAGTTGGGTATTATATGTTTTTAAAATTCTGCAGCATCTGGTTGAAAAGCACTGGTAAGAGTAATAGCTAAGCTCTAAAAATGTTTTATTCTAGATTTTAAATGGGATCTGATTGATAATGAAAATAATGGAACTGTATCAGTGGGATCTGCTTTCTCTGCATGACCTCCTGTCTCCAACCACTGCTGAGCCTTATCACAAAGCCACATAATTCTAAATTCTTCTTGAGGGGACATCCATAGATTATTCAATTGGTAATACTGTACTAATTAAAGGTAGCACTTCAATAATAAAAAAAAAAATCATCATCTCTTCTCATAAACCAAAGCTCTTAGGAATAATTCTGGATAACTGATTCTATTGGTGAACCTGAAAGAAGAAACATCCTCTATCAGCGCAATGAAAAGAGGCCACAAATGGCCAGTAATGAACAGGCAAGAAAGGCACAGAGATAAAAAGGCTATTCTGTCATCAGTAATCTGCATCTACCTTCCTCCTTCACCCCCAGAAAAGAAGAAAAGTTGTGTTTAAAGGGATCTATGAAAAAAATTTGTTAAAAAAGGTTCTTCAAATAGCTATGTAAATGTTATAGTCTATCATAAAGAGACATTGCTTTTGATTTATTGCTGGAGTCAACTGAAAGAGAAACTTGTGCCGAAACTGGTTTGGCTCAGTGGATAGAGCGTCGGCCTGGGGACTGAAAGGTCTCAAGTTCGATTCCGGTCAAAGGCATGTACATTGGTTGCTGGCACATCCCCATTAGGGGGTGTGCAGGAGGCAGCTGATCGATGATTCTCTCTCATTGATGTTTCTAGCTATCCCTCTCCCTTCCTCTCTGTGAAAAATCAATAAAATATATTTAATAAATAAATAAATATATATATTAAAATAAATGAATAAAATAAATAAATAAATAAATATTTCTATAAAAGAGAAACTTGTGTTTAAAATTTTATAATAAAATAAAATAGCATGTTTATTGTTTTAGTTAAGATGCATAAGCTGTTGCTAAATTTTTAAAGTCTTTATAACCTCGCAGTTAAAATTATTTCCTTTAACATGAAGGTTTAATCTATCACTAACAGAAATTTTGGGGGAATAAAAATGGTCAGAACACCAGTTTTTAGCTATACATGATTATTTCAACAGGAATTAGCCCAGCCGGCCTTGGTTCAGTAGTTGAGTGTTGATCTATGAACCAGGTGGTCACAGTTCAATTCCCAGCCAAGGCGTATGCCCAGGTTGCAGGCCCGATCCTGGTGTGGAATGCGCAGGAGGCAGTCAATCAGTGATTCTCTCTCATCACTGATGTTTTTATCTTTCTCTCCCCCTCTCACCTTCCTCTCTGAATTCAATAAAAACATTTTTTTTTCATAGAAACCTAATACAGAGGATTTAGTCTAAGTCGTATTATTTAACTTGAGTTTCCTAAGGCACTGTTTTATTTATGGAAATCCTATCTTTATATAATCATCTCTCTTTCTAATTGCTCTCTCTAAATTGTCCAGTTTTCTATGTATGACACATTGCACCAATGTCAGAATATTACATTTTAATTTTCTTGAGAATGGATGATAATTAATCAACTTGCAATTGCAATAAAAGTAGCAGCAGTAGAAATTTAAAAAAAAATTTTTTAAATATGAATCATTGCTAATTTGTAGAGCCCAACTAAGTATGGTTATATGAAATATTCCAACTTAAGCCTAAGCAACACTATAATATATACAAACACTCAAAATAATTTCTAGAAACAATAAGCGGTAATAGGAGGAGGGAAACATATGTAATAGTTTTAACAATAGAAATTTATATATTTTTAAAAACTGCAAGAGAACCAAGCACTTGGGAGACTGAAGAAAATGTAATTTTGAAAAAAAATGTATAGAAAATAAGTTAACTTTTCATAGAAAAAAAAATTTAAAAGAATGGTAAGGACTCAGTATATATTTGCAAAGCAATCAGAACCCCAACTATTAATATCTATGAATTTCTTAATAAGTCCTATTAAGCCCAACAAACCAAGGGTTCTACTGGTACCTTTATTTCAAGGTCTTATGCTAATGAGACATTTTATAGTTGTTACACAATTTATTTTCTTCCTTTAACATTTAAATAAGATATTAAACCGAGACCGGTTTGGCTCAATGGATTGAGCGTCGGCTTGGGGACTGAAGGGTCCCGGGTTCGATTCCGGTCAAGGGCATGTACCTTGGTTGCGGGCATATCCCCAGTAGGGGGTGCGTAAGAGGCAGCTGATCGATGACTCTGTCTCATGGATGTTTCTAACTCTCTATCTCTCTCCCTTCCTCTCTGTACAAAATCAATAAAATATATATTTTTTAAAAAAAAGATATTAAATTATATATGACTAACTGGTTAGAGAATCTTTGCAGTCAAATGGATTTGCAGATCAACAATGTGGTCCCATAACCTCCATTTTTTCTGAAGCAAAGCAGAAGCCTAGAAATGCAGAGACAAAGTACACCCAAAATCCTTTACTCACTCTTAGAAGAGCCAATGCAAATAACTATGAAGTACTACATACCTTTTCACCTATATATTGTATGATTGGAATAAGTTTTATAATATTTAAGCAGTTATGGTAGAACATTTATGGATTTTGAAACTATAGTATTATTATGAATTATATCCAAAAGACAGAGCTGCCTGGGTCACTAAGAAGCCAGCTCGCTTAAAGGTATATATGTTGACATTATAGAAAAATATATAATAAAAAGCTAATATGCAAATAGATGAACAATGGAACAATCAGAACAACCAAACAACAGGTCTCTATGACATGTGCTAACCACCAGAGGGTGTGTGCGGAACATGGTGGGCCTCGTCCTTGGCAGGATGGTAGAACAGGTGAGCAGGGATGTCAAACCAAAACGGGGCACCAGTCCCTGTCATAGGGAGAGCCTCTGGTGGTTACTGAAAATTCTTTGCTCTCATGTATTGCGGACCGGCCTGGCGCTCATGGTGCTGCCTGCTGCCAGCACCAGCCCCACTTGCACCCACAGCTGATGCTGGTCCCAATCAGCAGGTGCGAGTGCTGGCTACTGGCCCTGATAGCTCCTGAGGGTTTCTCCACCTCCCCCTGTTCCTGAGGGGTGATCAGGGGCAGCAGACACCGCTCGCACCCACTGCTGGTGCCAGCCCCAATCATTCCACACTATCAGTAGGTGGGAGTGATGGTGGGACCAGACAAGGGACCAGGGGCCTTGGAGGGAGGGGCTGGGCAGGGACGTGGAGGATGAAGCAGAGACCTGCCCCGTGCCTACCACAGCCTCATGGCCCACAGTTCCTTTCAAGGTGCACAAATTCGTGCAGTGGGCCCCTAGTAGAAAAATGAAGTTACTCATTTAAGTATTCACATAAAACTTGACATCTATTTTTTAAATTAATATGTGATTAAAAAGAAATTAATATGGCACTGCTATGATAACAGCTACCTTTCTTCATGGAAAGGTTTTCATTTGTAAGCAACAGGAAAGTTTAGGGCACTGAAGGATTTTTCTGTTTACCCTCATTTAGCACAAAATCATTTCTTTTATATCAATTTAAAACAAGCAATTTATTGCTACACTAATAAATTTTAAATGGTATAAACCATACAGAAGTATAAGCTTGGAAGTCATTTATTTACATAAAAACACAGTGTTCTAGTTTCAAATTTAGAGATTAACAATAACATAAGTACATGTAATTACAGCATTCTGAGACAGGGAAGCAGTTCACTCTCATAAGACCCTGTATTTAATAGAAAATGTGACCTTAAAAGTGTGCTCTTTTTTAGTTTATACACTTAAAAGCCTAAAACCAGAAATCTATAGCATTAGTGAAAATAAATGAACTAAGTAACAAATACACATGATCATACCTAAATCTAGATTTTTTAAATTTCTTCTTGGTTATAGAGACTGGAGGCTTTTCAGAATAATGCAAACGTAATCTTATTTCAGTCTGACATGTCAGCCATCCCGAATCCAAATTCTCAACACCATCTGGCAATTAAGTAGAAAGAAGCATAATTATTATACATTTTTTTTTAATTCAGTAAGTACAACACACATGGACAATTCTAGTTCACATTCAGATTTTAATATACTCAGGTTATGTCACTGGTACTTCTCTCCAAAGAAAATATATACACAGTCTTAAATTTGTCATTGAAAAAGAACTTTTACATGAAGAGGGGGGAAAAGTTAAATGAGTGTTAACAATAGCCATAGTTTTATAATTTAAGTAAATACAAATATTATAATTAAACCCATTATCGAAATAATATACATTCATTTCTGAAAGAATCCGTGTTTTAAGATGACTTCTAATCTACATTTGTTCCATTAGGAATTACTATTACACTTTCAAATATTTCACATGAGATATTTATTCAGCTGAAACTAATTATAGGACTAGTGCTAGGGACTGAAATATGAGATGGTAAAAATAAAACTGAGTCAATTCTATATTCTTACATTTATACATTCTGCCATAAATATCACAACTGTGATAATACTGTATTAGCAATGTTTAACTTGAAGTTACCTATTAACATAGGTAACACATTTTTCAAAGTACTACTGAACTATCAACTGTTTTGGACTTAAGTTTTTCAATAGGAAATAGCATTAGTGAAAATAAATGGCCTAAGTAACAAATACACATATATTTATTTATATTTAATATGTGTTTTATTAAATATATTAAATATATAAATATGTGTATTTGTTATATAAACATTTATCTTTAGAAATATAACTTTAAAAATGTTTAGTAATTAGCAAATTTTAAAAATAAAAAGAAACCCTGGAGTGTGTGGGGAGAGGTCAACGAGGGGGAAAGGAGCATATATAATACTTTCAACAATAAAGAATTTAATTAAAATAAATATTTGGTTAGAAGTAAAAAATAAAAAGAAACCACCTTATTTCTTTTTTTCTTTTAATATATTTTATTGATTTTTCACAGAGAGGAAGGTAGAGCGACAGAAACACTGATGAGAGAGAAACACTGACCAGCTGCCTCCTGCACACCCCCTACCGGGGATGTGTCCACAACCAATCTACATGCCCTTGACCGGAATCGAACCTGGGACCCTTCAGTCCACAGGCTGCCGCTCTATCCACTGAGCCAAACCAGTTTCAGCTATTTCTTAATTTTAAACTATTTCCAGGAATAGTCAAAGTTGGAAAAATGGCTTTCCATCCTAAAAGCTAATAGCACACTGTACACCATAAGCACCTGTAGATGCAAAGAGCGGACCTTCCTCACATGCCATGCACATCTATTAAAAAAAAAAAAAAAAGTGCTAAAACCGGTTTGGCTCAGTGGATAGAACCTTGGCCTGTGGTCTGAAGGGCCCCAGGTTCAATTCCGGTCAAGGGCATGTACCTTAGTTGCGGGCACATCCTCAGTAGGGGGTGTGCAAGAGGCAGCTGATCAATGATTCTCTCTCATAGATGTTTCTAACTCTATCCCTCTCTCTTCCTCCTGTAAAAAATCAATAAAATATATTTTAAAAAATAAAAATAAATTAATTAATTAAAAAAAATGTTTTCCCTAAGTAGCAGCCTTGACCGACTTTAAAATCATTTTCCGTGAGAATTTTCAGCTGAAAATATTCAAGAACACCCAAATTGTAATATATTTATTTGTATAAAATCCATTGCAAATTGATTTTTTTTCTTTTTAATTAAATTCAAAATATCGTGGCGTGTGGCATTTTGGATGCATAGCAGTTAACTGGCTAAAGCTGAATTTAGAATAACAATAAAAATTTCAACTGTTTTGGTTATATATGGTTATAACTACATATAACTACTGCTGGCCATGGAGCAAGCAGGAGGCTTGTCTTTGCTCCAGGTTACAAAGTTTAATTGCTACATATGGTTATAATATAATTATAACCATATGTAGTAATTAACAGATAACAGCTGAAAAAAATGAGAAAACAATCCTAATAAAAGAGTAATGTGCAAATTAACCACCACTCTGCTACACCCACCAGCCACACCCACCAGCAAATCAGAACAAGTATGCAAATTAACCCCAACCAAGATGGCTGCAGACTCAAAGAGCAGGAGGGAGGCTTGGGTTTCCCAGGCAATGGAAGAAGCCAAGCTTTCCGCCTGCCCTTGATGGCCTAGGCCTCCACTCAAGGCTACAAAAGCTTCAATTGTAGAAGGTAAACAAATCCAAACAAAAATGGCTGCTGGCCACAGAGCGAGCAGAAGGCTTGGCTCTGCTCCAGGTTACAAAGTTTAATTGTAGAAGGTAAATAAATTCCAGATACCAGGGCCTCTGCTTGGGTCGCCGGGGTGTGTGGCTGGCCTGCAAACCACCAAAGGCCCCTCTCTCAGGCGGCTCTACGCCCCAAGGGAATGCCCACTCTGATCTGGGTCACCCTTCGGAGCAAACCAGCTGGCCCCCACCCATGCACCAGGCCTCTATCCTATCTAATAAAAGAGTAATATGCAGATTGACCATCACTCCAACACACAAGATTGCTGCCCCCAAGTGGTCAAAGATGGCTGCCCCCATGTGGACACAAGATGGCCACCACATGATGACCAGCAGGGAGGCACTAGGCCAGCAAGGGAGTGCAGTTGAGAGGGACCAGGACTGCAAGAAAAGGCAATGAGGGGTGACTAGGCCGGCAGAGGAAGGAAGTTAGGCTCAAACAGACTTGCAGGGGAGCAGTTAGATATCAATCAGGCTGGCATGGGAGTGGTTAGGGGATGATCAGGCTGGCAGGCAGAAGTGGTTAGGGACAAGCAGGAAAGCAGGCAGGCAAGCAATTGGGAGCCAGCAGTCCTGGATTGTGAGAGGAAGCCAAGTTTAAATAAATAAATAAATAACCAAATTAAAAAAAAAAAATGTGTGTGTGTGTGTATATATATATATATATATATATATATATATATATATTAAAAAAACTCTCCAAAACATGTAACATACATACCATCTTTTCTAAATAAAGAGGACAAGACTATAAAACACTAAAGCTATTCAAATATTTTAGACTACTTGATGATATAACATAAATAACCTCAAATAAAATCCAAATTCCTATCCAAACACTGCCAAAGCATGTACACATGTCCTTATTAAACCACAACCAAAACATTCAAACCTGTTCCTTCCTGTTCTGAATAGGAAAGCAACTGGTTATCAGCAATTTATCTCTGGTTCAATCAGCAAAAGCACACATTCTGCCCACTCCTTTACACAGTAAAGTATTTAAAAATGAAAATGCAATCAATTGCATTTAAGGAAAAATGATAAAATAAAAATGCAATTTAGCATAATGCTGATAATGCTAACACATTGTAAGAGTTCAAGTTGCTGAAAACTTGAGTTCTCAAAGTCTTTACTGAAGCAGAATATACAAATGAGTAATATTTTCAATATATTCAGAGGTAAAAGGATTTTCTAATGTGCTAATTAAATGTTAAAGACTAAGTCAGAATTACTAGAATATTCTGCTTAATCTGGATTTTACCATAAACGCACATATAAACATACAAAATGCACAAATTAGCCTATGAGTAACGTTTCACATCTTAAATGTTTAGAACTGCTAAACGTAATACAGTTGGTTCTGAGGTTACGTCAGAGATCCATTCCTAAAGTGCGATGTAATGCGATTTTCGCTGTATGTTGGAACCCACCTACATAAGCATTTATGTCACTCACATGGAGCACATACACAGCAGTAATGAAGTGAAACAGTAAAAAAAAAAAATAAATAAATAAATAAATAAATAAATAAATTAAAAGATAACAATTCCTGATCTTTACTTGTGGAAAATAAATAATAATAAAAAAATATAAAGCACTTATTATTTATATACGTCAAAATGACGGAACTTCTTTTTTAACATAAATAAATGGGAGATGGCGACATAACCACGAAACGACATACATTGAGTTTGACGTAACCTAAGAACTGTCTGTAGTGTTAAAAGTGATATTATTAACTCATATAACTAAAATCACCTGTCAAAAAACTTAAAGCATAAGAATTATATAGGGGCCCGGCCAGTGTACTTTGTGGTTGAGCATCAACCTATGAACTATGAGTTTATGCTTTGATTCCCAGTCAAGGCATTTAATTCCCAGTTTTGCTCAATCCCCAATGGGGGATGGGGGAACATGAAGAGGCAGCAAATCAATGATTTTTCTCATCACTGATGTTTCTATTTTTCTCTTACTCTCTAAAATCAATAAAAATATTTAATAAAAAAAAAGAAAAAGAAAAAAAGAATTATACATGGTGGAGCAAAAAGTATGTTTATAGTTTGTATTAAAAAATACAATAATTCTATATAATAAAAGCCCAGTGACTGAATGATGGAAAAGACCAGAGTGACCAATCAACCAGTCACCATGTGTACTGACCACCAAGGGGCAGTGTGCTACCACAGTAGGAGTGCTGCTTAGCTGACTGGAATGAGCAGCTGCTCCTGCTGCAAACCCTGGGCCAATAGGCAGGAACCCTGGCTGTGATTGTCACCTCCTCGCCCAGGCTCCTCCTCCTTGCACAGCTGACCCTGGAAGCTGGGAGGCGGATTTGTGGCCGCTGCGAGACTGAGGCCTACTCGGCCGCCTCTCAGTGCTATTGTCCCTAGGCTCAGCTCGACCCGGTTCCCTGGAGAGGCAAGTGCTCTGGCTCCATAGAGGATGCCAGACCAGGGAGCAGCTGCTAAAAGGGCAAGTCCACAGTTGCTGGACTGACTGGGATGAGTGGTGCTCCCATAGCAAGCTGATCCCCACAAGCCACGCCCCACCCCACCAGTGCAATAATCCCATGCACCAGGCCTCTAGTCTGTCTATACTAATAAAAGGGTCATATGTTAAATAGAGTGGATGCCTTCCAGACAAAGCTACAGTGGCTATGAGGGCAGAAACCAGGCAGCCATGGTGGTGGCTGTGAGGGCTCAGGGCAGGCAGCCATGGCAACAGCAGCTGATGGGGACAGTGCCTCCTCTTGATAGGCTGGTCACCTCCCACAGAAGACATCCCCTGAGGGTTCCCAGACTGTGAGAGGGGGCAGGCTGGACTGAGGGACACCTCACACCACCGGCGCACGAATTTTCGTGTGCTAGGCCTTGAGTATATATATAAAAGGCTAAGTGTCCATATGAATGGTAACTATGGCGTGCACTGACTAACAGAGGGCAGGTGCTCAATGCAGGAGCTGCAATGATGCGCACTGGCCATTTAAAAGTAAATAGTACCTCGGAGCTGACATCAACAAATCAGCACTTGGTTTCCCCCAAGTGGGACACAGGCCCCACAACCACCCTGGAGTGACACCCCACCAAATCACAGTTAATGCTGCCTAAGACCTCGTGGCACAAAATGCAACCCACAGCCCAGCCCAGAAACGGTTGCTGTGTGCTTCAGGTAAATGACATCACGTATCAATGCCCTGCTTCCTCTCCCTAGCGACCAGCCTCCTTAGACTTTCTTCAGCCTAGGAACCCAACTTGTTTTATAGCCAGGTGCAAAGATTTTACAGTTAACCAAATGTTTTTATGCAGTTTCCCATGCCTTATCTCATTTGATCTTTACAGCAGTCCTGGAGTAGATAAACAGGAGACTAGGTAGAACCCTATTTTCTTTTCATTAGCAAGATGTGAACAGAGATATTAAAATACTTCTAAATTTTTTTGAGGTTGAACGAAGAGGTGGTTTTGTTGTAAATTCTTAAGACACAAAAACAAGTTCAGAGAAAGAAGACAACTTGAATTTAACACAGACACTAAAAATGCTCTTTTAAGATTATTCAAACTGTTTTTAAAGTTCAGACAGATCTACAGAAAACCCTGTCAACTGTGATCCTTGGTGGTGGTTTCACAATTTACAAGGAGGACATCATGTCAGAGACTGTCCTAGCAGCAAAAGCCATGTGCGAGGGCTGTTCCTCTAGGTCCCAGTGCTATTTACCAACTGGTAGTCAGATGGCTTTCATTGAAGTGGAAACAACTGTTGCTGTTGCCCAGGGTGCAAAGGCAATTGAAGGGGTTAGGGTAAAGGCTCGGCTTACTTCGTGTCTAGTGACACTACACAAGACTTCTTAGCCTCATCCACCAGGCTCAAGGCTTCTTAGCCTCATCTGCCAGATGATGAGACTCTGCATCCAGGTCTCAGGCGCAGGCTCTCCCTCCTTCCCCAAAGGGTTATAACCATCCCTGCGTAGAGGCTTCTGTCGCTTGCTTGCCGTTTGTGGGGAGGCTGAATAAAGTAGAAGGCTTGCTGAGACCAGTTTGGCTCAGTGGACAGAGCGTCGGCCTGCGAACTGAAGGGTCCCGGGTTCAATTCCAATCAAAGGCATGTACCTTGGTTGCGGGCACATCCCCAGTAGGGGGTGTGCAGGAGGCAGCAGATCTATGTTGCTCTCTCATCGATGTTTCTAACTATCCCTCTCTCTCTTCCTCTCTGTAAAAAATAAATAAAATATATTTCTTTAAAAATAAATAAATAAAGTAGAAGGCTCTGGGCTGTCTTCTTCCTGGGGCTTCCAGGCATGGCCTCAGTAGCATTTCCCTCTTGCATGCTGTCCCACATTTCAATCTTCCTTCTCCTTTTCTCTTAAGCTGTCGTAGTTTTTCCTTGTGCCTTTTCAATTGGGCACTTAATTCTTCCTGCATTTTCAGGCGAATGGCTGCTAAAGACTCCTGTCGTCTCACAGCATCATCGGGTTCCACACGAGCTGCCACCCTGTCTGGCTGCCTCTGCCTGGAAGCCCTCAGCCAGGTGGAGAGCTTCTGAAAGACGGCCAACAGGAGGATGCAGCCAAAAACCATGTACCAGCCATAGACAGCCAGCAGGGAGCCCACAGTGATGTTCAGGAAGCGCAGCCCCTCTTACTCCAGAGCCAATGCAACGACAGCTGCTTCCTGACTCTCCATGACTGCCAGGTCGCGCTATGTCAGCTCTGGCTTCTGACTTCTGCCTTCCTGCCCCTACCTAATTTCCTTTCAATGTGCATGAATCCATGCACTGGGGACACTAGTTAATAAATCCTATATAATTAAGAGCTAATATACAAATGATCATCACACCCTTACGCCATAACAGCTCAGACACTTAACAATGGGAGAGAGGAAGGGAGACCAGCCAGGCTGTGGCCCGGGAGAGGGACAAGCTGCCTGCCCTATGGTCCCAGGCACCTGCAGCTGCACCCTGGGCAAAACCACCCGCCCACGGTCTCATGGCTGCAGCCAGCCTGGGTGAAGCTGGCCTGGGTTTTGGGTGCCTGCAGCCAGCTAGAGGGAGGGGAGCCCGAGTCCCGGGTGCCTGTGACCGGCCAGAGGGGGGAATCCTGGGTCCTGGGTGCGGGGCGAAGCAGAGGCAGTTAGGGGTGAGATTAACTCATCAGGGAAGCAGTTAGGGGTGATTAGGCCGGTAGGGAAGCAGTTAGGGGTGATCAGGCAGGCAAGCAGAGATGATTAGGAGCGATCAGGCAGGCAGGCAGGCAGGTGAGCAGTTAGGAGCCAGCGGTTCCAGATTGTGAGAGGCAGTCGGACATCCCTTGAGGGACCCCCCCTTCCCAATGCATGAATTTCATGCACCGGGCCTCTAGTAATAATATAAGAATAAACTCTGTGTTTCGCATACAAACCTTCTGCCCCACCTGTACAGGAAACTATTATTTAAGAGAATGGCATTTGTTTCTTAGATTTAGCCTCTATTTCCAATATCATACTCCTGTCACATTTCCCTCTATCTGTTTCTAATGAATGTTATGTTACATCTCAACCATATCAGTAAAAAAAAAAAATTTAAAGCTCAGTCTCACTTACTGTGGATTCCAAATTGTCCATCGTCAATAATAATTTCACTTTCTAGAATTAAAGGAAAATAGAGAACCTAGTTAAAATTCACGACATATATAGACAACTGAGAAATTACCCACCTTAAGCATTTTTAAAAATATGAAATTTTAAAGCAGCCCAAAGTGAATAAGCATATTTATTGTAGCCCTCAATAAAGAATTCCCTTTTAAGAAGGCTATCAAACAATCAGTTCTTACATACTTGTTGATTATTCACGATGTTACAAGGAAGAGAAAGAGGACTCCTCAGATGGTGCTCTAGAGGCACTGGGACAAACTTCACCCACAATTTGTGAGCCTGATAGATTGCTAGACAACAGTACCTCCTGGTTCACCTTTCAAACCAAAGGTCTTGGCACAATTAAAATGCTTATTCTTATGTAATGCATTTTCTGACCTTATCTAAAATGTAATTCTCTTCAAATCTCCACTATTCTCTCTCCAGCTAAAAGCTTTACAAACAGCATAAACTTACCTGTATACTTAGAGCTGTGAGGAACTATCAAAAGAGTAAGTTCTAGCACATGCCCTTCTAACAGAAACTTCAGCTAAGTGAGATAAGCTACTAAACTCCACCCTCAGAATAACATACTAATTCCCTGCTCTTTCCTTTCCTGTTTTCTTTACACATAGGTCTGAAATATTTGTCAAAATTAGTGTGATAGTTCCCAAAGAAGATTCTCTGACAGATTTCATGGAGCTCTTAAGTTTAGAGCATCTATTTTTCAAAGATATAAATTTCTTTTTAAAAGATCAGAAACATAATATCCTACTTCTCACAATAATACAATATATTTAACTGCAAGATGCTTCAAAATGCAAATTATTTTAAACTACTAGGTACCTAATAATTTCCAACCTCAGTATAGAACTATTATAATTTTGAGATATACTATCAGAAAAATCCTAAATACAATATAAAAATGTATTAAAACATATAAAAAGAAAATCCAATAGAGGATGGAATGAGATAGCTGTTTAAACAAAATGTGTCTATAGGGTAAAGCAAATCTCTCACTACTTTCTAAGCTGGTAACTAGAAAGCCATTTATTATCTTTACATTCTAATTTTCCTTAAACAATGAAAGATGCATTTCTCAGCAATGAGTCAATTTATAGATGAATCGGTAATTTAATGTATGTGAAATGAACTTCAAGTTTTAATCTTAGTATGGAAAAGAAAATTTAAAAAATACTTGTATGAAGAAAAATGCCTTTTTAGGCATAATAAGAAAACGGAATAATGTTTTTTACAAATTGATCTGAATATCAATTTTAACATAGCCAGCAACATACTTAAATAAATCAAGAGGAAAATATGTCTGCTACAATAAAGAAATTTGAATTTATTCATACAAATTTAAGTATTTACTATTAAGAAAAAAACAACACAGAATAAATAGAATAACTTGCTCTATTCTCACTAAAGTGAAAAATGTAAGAATCTTTGTTTTTGCCCTGGCTGAGTAGCTCAGTTGGTTAGAGCATCATCTTGATATCCCAAGGTTTCAGGTTTGTTCCCTTGTCAGGGCAGGTACAAGAATCAACCAATGAATGCATAAATAAGTAGAATAATAAAAAATTTCTCTCTCTCTTCCCTTCTCTCTCTCCTTTCCTCTTTCTCTAAAAGAAAATTATCTAAATTATCTGAGCAAGTAATCAATAAAGCCATGGATGCTCAGCAAAGAAGAATGTTACTTTGTAAACTTGTTGCTACTCCAAATAAAAAGTCCACAATAAATTAATCTAACCCTTCAAAATAAAAATAATTAAGCATTTCTAATAGTTTATAGAGAAAGGCAATTAAGAACTATTTAGTTTTGAAAGTAAGATTCACAATATGCTAAGTGAAAATTGACCTTAAACTTTAGAATAAAAATTTATTAAACCCCACTAAGCCATTGTGCAGCATATTAGTAACTTATGCATATGCCTCAAACAGATGCAGTTAATGCCCATACCTAAAGGGGTTATTGATCGTGGTTGTAGATGAGTCTCCCACTTGTGAACTATGACTTGACATGGACCACCGATAGTCTGCAATTTAAAAGTTAAATGTCTGCAATAATTTCTTATATCTTATATTCTACCCATGACTCCATTAGATGTTTGCGGCCTAAATTAATACTACATATGAAACCAAAAGATTCATTTTGTTAATTATCAATATTATATGCCCCTAATCAGGAATGTACTAGGTCACAAATCATGATGAGTGCTGGAAGAAAATGGGGATGAGAGAGTAAACAAAGAAAAATGGAATGAACTGGTACAAAAAAACTGCCTTAAACCCATTCTTAAATCTGCCTACAATACTCAATTTTTTTCAAAGAAAATTTTAATTTTTACTGATATTCTGTTAAAGTTAACCATAAATATATTTTATGTTTGGTATATCAGCCCATCAATAGGGTGTTACTGGATAAAGTATCTCATCTTAAGTAACTCTTGAGGTGTTTGGATAAAGCCTAAACTCTGACCACAGGAATAGTAGAAACAAGTACTAAAGATCAACTATCACAAGTTACTCAAGAAATGTGAGGGGGTAATACAGTTCTTTACTATATACGTTTAAGAATAGTAAGTAGATAACAGGAAGAACATCAGATCTCTATCACAGTAACCAATGTTTTTAAAGAGCACAGGAAACCCTAAAAGAAAGGAGATACACACCAGTAAATTTGAAGAACAAATTTGATAAAAGTGAAACTAACATCCAGTTTTACTTTTTATGCCTTTGGGTTTCTAAATTCATACAGTGTGATAACTCCTAATATTGTTCCCTATTATCAAGTTCTTTTACTAAGAAAACAAAACTTTATGTCAATAACATCTACACAAATTTTAAAATAAGAATGAACCTACCGATAAAGATTTCCGACATACAAGAGACTAAAGTTTTAAATACTTCCTAGTTACCCTTTTATTACTTTTAAAATGACTAATTAAACTTATGTGTCAAAGTTGAATACGTATTTTAAAAGCAAATTTTGACTAAACCTTTGTTTTCTAAAAAATGTAGTAAAATACAGGGATGCAAAAAGAAAGTCACCCATTATCACACACTTAGGATTAATTACTATCAACATTTTCATACATAATCCTCAAGCCCTTTCCTAGGCATATATAAACATACTATTAAAAAGCCTGAAACATGTCAGCTTCTCTCTATATATTATACATCTTTAGGTGGCATTAAATACTCTCCTATAACATGTTATAGAATTTCTATATTGATATTTTTAAAAGTTGCCAAGTGATAACAAAAAAGTAGGTAACAGATTAGGCACATTAGGTAATTAAACACAAGAGATAATTGTGCCACTTAAAATAACCAGAGAGACTGGCTGGTGTGGCTCAGTGGCTGAGCCTCAACCTATGAACAAGGAGGTCACTTCTTAGATTCCCTGTCAGGGCACATGCCCAGGTTGCAAACTTGATCCCCAGAAGGTGGCAAGCAGGAAGCAGCCAATCAATGATTCTCTCATCTTTGATGTTTCGCTCTCCCTCTCCAAAATCAATAAAAATGTATTTTTGCCCTAGCCAGTTTGGCTCAGTGGATAGTCAGACTAAAGACTGCCAGATTTGATTCTGATCAAGGGCACATGCCCGGATTGCAGGTTCAATTCCCAGTAGGGGGTGTGCAGGAAGCAGCCGATCAATAATCATCTCTCATCATTGATGTTTCTATTTCTATCTCTCCCTCTTCCTTACTTTCTGAAATCAATAAAAATATTTTAAAATAATAAAATAAAAATATTTTTTTAAATAAAGTATAAAAATCTTTTTTAAACTTGCAAACTTTTGGGATTTGAAAACTAAAGTAGCACTAGATACTCATTCAAATTACTTATTCTGGGATGATATGGAAAATACTCATTTTCTCTAGACAAATACGTGTTATAAGGTTTACTTATGAATTGGTAGACTGTGTAGATGTTTATAAAAAGGTAAATGTGAAACTTCTAATTTTAAAATATGAATTTAACTTCCTTAAAACTTAAAGGAGATGCATTTAATCCTACATTTCCTAGAATTTTTTTACTATAACTTTTTCCTGTTACATTTTTCCAGTTTTTTTAAACATCAAACTTTCTAATCTTCAAGAGATGCAAATTGCATACATTAAAAATAGGAATAATGTTTAATAAACAGCCAGAAAAAACCTACTCCTCCCATGTCCCCAACATGCTCTAACCAAAAGAAAAAAAAATTCCTCTTCACTAAAAGAAGGTATGGGTTTACAATCTTATAGAAGTTACTAATCAAACTTAAAGGGTGCCATGAATGTATTAAATCTCAACAAGGATTAAAAAGTGGGTAGAGGTAGAGACCTCCTTGTTTGGCTCAGCCTAAGGACTGAAAGGTCCCAGGTCAAAGGCACATGCCTGGGTTGCAGGTTTGAACTACAGTGTGGGACATGCAGGATGCAGGTGATCGATGATTTTCTCTCTCCCTCTCCCTTCCTCTCTGAAATCCATAAAAAAATAAAAATAAAAGCAAGTGGATAGAGGGGAAAATATTCTTTTTTGTTTTAATTGATTTGTCAGGGAAACTTTACTATGCACATAAGAATAGTCCTGTTGATTAAGTATTTGATAGGGTATATATTTTAGTAGTAGTTTTAATTAACTCCATCCTCATGTTTTAGTTACAGTATAAATCAATTTGGGCTGGAATAGAATGGAGTATTTGAGGAGTAGTCCAAAGGGCCAATTCAACAGATGACTTACAATTGTGTCTACTAGCATTCACACTACAAATCCGTGTTGTTTAGTACACAAAGTGTTGAACATTGAAAGAAAAAACAAAAAAACAAGTTTTAAAACACCGTGAATTTCCAAAATTGTTATAACTACTTTATTAAACTTTAGAAGGTCATCTTAAATTTTAGCTTACTGAAGTTGTTTTAAATTTATTAAAAACCTGAGCATTGATATATTAAAAATCTCAATAGTGACTCCAAAACCTGCAATCCTTTTTAAGGCTCTATTCCATAAAAAACAATCTTTAAGATCTTAGGGAAAAAAAAAAAAAAAGAAATCTTCCTCTCAGAAATCAATAAAAATATAATAAATAAAAGAACAGCTCCATTCTGTAAAAGGCTGCCACAATTTTAAACATTTTGGAGTTAAATGGAAGGTGTATCTTTGGAGAAAAAAAAGAACAGTATCAGTCCAGGACAGTACTCCATTAGCAGTACTGGTAGAGTTAGTTCACAATTTAGCATATATTAAATCAGATGATTGCTGGAATGTTTTCAAGCATGCATACTAACAACAAAAGACACCCCAAAACTGTTTCCACATACACACACTTATTGATTACTTCTCAAACAATTATTGACATCACTCAGCTACATCAAGCACTGAGAGATATTTAAAAGAATATCAAACATGTAGACTGGAATTTTTGTTTTAACAAATAAACAAATTATCAAATACTCATGTAATAGCACTGCTTCTAACTATCATGAAAAATGTAAATGTGCACTTTTAAAATTTTGCTAATTGTTTTCTTGCAATATTTTGGGAAAAATGTGCGTGTAAAAGGATCTCAAAGGATTTTTATCTATGCTGACTGAGGCCAGACCACCCTGATCAGTTTTTTCAACCTTCGGACTCAAGAATCCCATATTTGATTCCAGTCAAGGGCACATGCTCAGGTTGTGAGCTTGATCTCCAGGAGGGGGCAGGCAGGAGGCAACTGATCAATAATTCTCTCTCATTATTGATGTTTTTCTCTCCCTCTCCCTTCCTCTCTGAAATCGATTAAAAATAAATAATTTTTTTTAAAAAAAATCAATAAAGCCCTGACCGGTTTGGCTCGGTGGATAGAGCGTCAGCCTGCAGACTGAAGGGTCAAGGACATATACCGTGGTTGTGGGAACATCCCCAGTAGGAAGTGTGTAGGAGGCAGCTGATCGGTGTTTCTCTCTCATAGATGTTTCTAGCTCTCTATCCCTCTCCCTCCCTCTCAGGGAGGGTGGGGGGAATCAATAAAATAATAAAATATATATATATTTAAAAATCAATAAAAATAATTTAATGATAAAAAAAGAAACTATTGTAAAAAGAAACCAAAATAACCCTGGGCTATTCTAAATGAAATTCAAGAGAAATTAAGAATAAAATAAAGTTTATAATTAATCTAATTACAAGTGAATGTTAACACCTATAAAAATTAGAAATAGCCTTAACTGGTTTGGCTCAGTGAATAGAGTCGGAATGTGGACTGGGGGGTCCTGGGTTACATTCTGGTCAAGGGCATGTATCTTGCTCATGGGCACATTCCCGGTTAGAGGTGTGCAGGAGGCGACTGATTAATGTTTCTCTCTTATCAATGTTTCTCTCTATCCTTCTCCCTTCCTCTCTGTAAAAAAATCAATAAAATATATTTTTAAAAAATTAGAAACATTGTTACTGCAATAAAGGGCTACATACTCTGAGATGAAGGAAATAGTTCAAAGACAATATAATTAAAAATTGGCTAACATTTCTGTAAGTAACTACAGAATTAACTACGCTAATTCTAGCCCCAGTTAGAAGGGGTAGATATGGATTTAAAAATGTTTAAATTGCATGTTAACTCAAAAATTACTTTGGTGAGGATGTGAAATTAATGGACTATGCAGGCTCACACCAATGTTCCCATTCCAGGAATATCTACCTTGTTTTCTATGTTTATATAACTGAATATTTTGATTTGTCACCTATAAAATTATCTTAAAATTCAACATATTAATACTTTATTCTAATTCTACAAAGTATAAGATAACATGTAGCTGTGAAAAATTAAGAGAAAAAGGATTGCAAGACTCAACTTCTAAACTAAAAGGAATATGCCAGAAGGAGCAAAACATAAGAAAATATGGATGCTGAAACTGGTTTGGCTCAGTGGTAGAGAGTCGGTCTGCGGACTGAAAGGTCCCGGGTTCGATTCTGGTCAGGGGCATGCACGTTGGTTGGGGGCACATACCCGGTGGGGGGGGTGCAAGAGGCAGCTGGTCGATGTTTCTCTCTCATTGACGTTTCTAGCTCTCTATCTCTCTCCCTTCCTCTCTGTAAAAAATCAATAAAATATATTTTAAAAAAAAGAAAAAGAAAATATGGATGGTGAAATTTTACATTATTTATAATAAAATAGTAGCAATGAAAGGGACCTAAGAAATTTATAGTTCAAATCCTACATTTAAAAGATGAGAGCTAAAGTCTAAAGGTCAAGTGATAAGATCACAAGATTTTAACTTGCGCTCTACAATTGCTTTAGACTACCTTCTAAAACTTTGACCAGTAAAATTAATCTTATTACCCATTTCAGCTTTTTAATGCTTTCATAATTAATTTGCTTCCCTTTTATTCTTTATATTTATAATATATATATTCCAATAATTTACATCATTGCATGATTTTAAGATTCCTTGTACATTATTTTTATCATTTGATAATGCACAATTGAGAGTTTCATAATTACTTTGATTAAAAAGTAAGTTTCATTTAAAAAGCGCCACCAACTTACAAAAAAAGTGTTCTTTTAAGTTTGCATGTGGATTTTATGTAGGTATTTACTCTATTCCATGAAAAACATACTTACCATGGCAGCCCCTGCATCACACGGTACATGTGTACTCGATACAGAGCACCTACTTAAAGAAACACACTCACCAACACATACTGTAAACTTTTGCAAGTATTACAAGGGGAAAAACTTGTTTCTTACTGTAAGCAGATTTCTTGCCAATTTTTCAAAGGCATTTTGGACTGATTTGCTGCTTTTGGTTACATTTTCAATGAAAAGGAGAAATACTGTAGATTGGCTTAATTTAACCTGTGTTGACAATAGTCTTCCTTTAGAAAACTATTACCAAAATATTCATTATGATTTTTCCTGTCGAAATGCCCCTTTAAGTAAAATGTAGTTGATTTCACATGTTACAAATTTCACATACCAGGATCCACAAATAAGCTTTTAATGAGTGCTGGGGATCTATGTGTATGCGTAATTGTTCAATATGTACTGAAGAACTATGCCATGATGCATAATCTCTATACTAAGAAATGTTCTTAAGTCATAAAGTGAGACTATTGTCAAGATAAGCCAACAAAATGATTAAACATAATGTAATTTAAGTTAAATTACTGAATATTTAAAATATATTCTCAGAATAAACGTAATAGGTGCAAAAGACAGCTGAAGTGGGTTTGTCAGTTTTCTTTTTTTATATTATGGTGGCTAAGAGAATAAGGTAACAGTGGCTGCTTGCATTTTTCATATGTAACAAGTATTCCATGACCTTAAAGGGGAAGAAATTTTCTTAAAAGTTCTTAATCTATGTTTTGTGTCCTAGGTTCCTGCCTATGCCCTTGTTCACATGCAGCCCAAGTGTGCTCAAAGGTAAAACTCTGAAGGAAAAGAATTCTTTCAGCAAATAAGTATCTTTTAAAAAGAGGAAAAGAATCCACTTTTTTTCTAAATACAAAAACACTCCCAAAATAATAAATCATTTTGAGCAAGGAGATTTAGATTCAACATATTCCAAAGGCATTCAGAAAAGATCCTGGTCTGTCAACACCATTGTTGAAAAAAATCTAAGAGAAATTACTTAATTTTTTAAAAGGTTAAACAATGCAGCCAACTAAGAGACAACTGGTATGAAATAATTTTTTAAAACAATTATTCACTAAAAGCTGGCTATTTGTACTTATACTATTTCACAATTAAAAAACAAAACAAGAAAAAACTTGTAACTGGTGATTAATTAGTTTACGAAAGTTACAGAAAATGCATACCTACCTATCAAGAATATTTATTTATCATTAAAACCTATTTCATGACAATAATACTGCAACATACTTACTATTAGTCTTTTTAAAATTCCATTACAGGCATCGGCTATCTCTGAAGTGGCTACTTCTTTGCTTTTTGTACTAAAATGTTATTAACCTGTTAACTGAGCGGGACCTATAAATACGTCAAACGTAAGCAATATTGGGAATGGGTAGGACGTATGAATACGTCCTGGAAATATATGTTGCGCCCTGAGAGGGACGGTATATATTTTTTGTAATCTTTATAATTGTTTGTAAAATTTATAATTTTTTAATTCGATGTTTCCAATTTGTTGTTGTTATTCTTTTCTATTTTTTTGTAATTTTGTATTTTCCTTTGTGCTTTATATAAAAATAAACGAAAAAAATAAATATATCATTTATTTTAATTAAGTATAAATAAAAAATAATAATATGAAATTACGTCCTCCTGGAGTGACGTACTGACACGTCCTAGTGAAAGAGTATGCGCCCATTATAGGTTGCATAATTAAATAGGGAACTCCCCGGTTAACAGGTTAATTTAGAGTTCTATTTTCTTTATTTGATCAATACAAACTTTTTTTACTTTTAATGTTTCCAAACTTATATTAGTTGCTTTTGAAAGAAGTCTGCTAAAGAAACTGGAAACTAGGTGAAGAAAACATACCTTTGGTTCTAAAAAGCACCCTTTGAAGTAGCGATACTGAATTGATTCTCCTCTACTGAGTACAATGGTTGCTTTCCAAAACATGCTGGGGGGGAGGGAGGGGAGAAATTAAAACAGCAGCATCAATACCAAGCTAAAATGCATAAAGATTTCATAATTCATAAAACCCCTCAAATAAGGTCTGTGACCCAAAGCACTTATTTTTTCCTGCACAAAATTTACTCCAGGCCTAATCTATACCAACCACTGAAAACCACTGATGAAAGAGCCCCCCATCTTCAAGAAGATTGCTTTCTTGTGTGGGTAAACACCAAACAACATCACTGTAAGGGCTATTTGAACTTTCTGATGTGACAGGAAGTGTTGGAGGAAGCTTTTGGATGGGAGATTTTAATGAGGAAGAACTGTGTTAGTTGAGACCTAAATGATGGGAAGAAACCAGCCATACAAAGAGCCAGGAGAAGTATTCTAAACAGAAAAAGCACATAATGCAGAGGTAAAAACCAGAGTCAGGCTTTCCTAGCTAGAGATGTTACATGGCTGCTATGAGGCTTTGGGGCCAAGGCCAACAACTCATGTTCCCCAATTGTCCCTTGTTCTAACTGTCCTGCCCAGCCTCTGGCTATCCTCCTAGCCAAGCAATCAGTATCTGTATCTTACTTGTTTCAACCTAATGTCCTCCTCTGAACTATGCTACTCTAAAATTCACTACAATTCATAATTAGAAGTGGTTTTTAGCTTCAAACCACAGACCAGCATAATCCAAAGTGTGGTTCCAAGGATGGTCAGTATCACCTAAGAGCTTGTTATAAATGCAAATTCTCAGGCCACACCTAGACCTATTAAATTAGAAACTCTGGGAGGAGGGCCCAATAATCTATAATTTAACTGGTAACTCTGACAAACACTTAAGTTTGAGAGCCACTGTCATAGACCATTACACAAACATTAATTCCACCTGAACAGTTCAGTGAATAAACGACAGCTCCAAATGTTCTTCCATGACACCAGATGGCTAGCACTGCTCCCCACCTGGCTCTTCCAAGACACGCTATAGGCATTATCCTCACTCTGACTCAATTGTAGTTCCTAAGAAATATCCACAGCCAGCTGTCACCCAGTCTTAGCTTCAGCTATCAGAATAATATGGTAGTTAAAAAATACATATATCCTGACTTTTTCCTGGGAGTCTCTGCTTTCATAGGTCTGGAGAAGAGCTTGATCATATGGAATTTGATAAAATCTCATAGGGCACTGAATATATGGCTGGTTGAGAATCACTGCTCTAAAGCAAGGATAGCAAATTACTTTTTCCTGATAGGCTCAGAATCATTTTCAACACAGGACTCCAAGCAAATTCTACCAACTATAAGTTCAAGTTTATTTCCCATCTCTGCTACCATGAGAGAGAGAGAGAGAGAGAGAGAGAGAGAGAGAGAGAGAGAGAGAGAGAGAGAGAGAGACAGACACAGATACACACACACACAGACACACACACACACCGGGGGGGGGGGGGGGGCCTGGCAGATTTCCAGTACTGCTTCATCCATAAAACAGTAAGCTTAACCCCAGATGTGCACACTAGAACTGGTGGGAAGCTTTGAAAAATATACTGGGGCCCCCTCTCTAATGCATTATTTCTCAATATCCAGAAGTAAGGACTAGGGATATCTACATCTATATCTATCTTTTTAAAGAATAGTTTATTTTTAGAAAGAGAGGAAGAAAAAGGGAGGGAGAGAGACACTAATGTGAGAGTAGTAAAACATGGATTGGCTACCTTCTCCATGCCCCCTACCAGGGATAAAGCTCAAGACCCAGACATGTGCCCTAAGCAGGAATCAGTCTAGCAACCTTTCGGTGCACGGGATGATAGCCAACCAACTGAGCCACACTGGCCAGGATTAGGTAGGTGTATTTTTTTAAAGCCCTCGGAAGTTATTTTAAGGTGTACTCCTGATTAACAACCACTAAATAAAGAAAAGAGATGAAAGCAAATCAATTAAGTCTTTTTCACTCTAGTTCTCCAAGCAAATGTAGCAAAGTTAAAAGTGAACTAGCACTGCTCAGTGAGGGCAAGAATGAACATAAGATGATGAAATTAAAAATAAACCAGGCAAGAGGGGCAATGAGGTTTAGTGCACCTGCCTGATTTTAAATTGTCCTCAAATCCTTCCCCAAAATCTACAAGGAGAGCAAGTAAAATCAAAGTGACTCACATTTTCTGCATTATTAGGAAACAAGGCCAAGACCTTCAAAATAACTGAATGTAGAAAGAAAAACCCAACAGAGCTCTTGTCACCACAAGCCTGTAGGTATGAAGAGGCTTAAGAGACTGTGAAAAAGGGGTAGAGAACACTTAGATGTGAAGACCACGTATGCTATATTATCTTTCTGTATAATTTTGTATTATCTACTTCATTTCTGCTGTGAAGCTCTGTTTATCTGCTATATATGAATCATTATATTTCAGTGTATGCCAACAACGTGAAAAATGGCTGGTCTCATAAGTTTAAGTTGTTAGGTGTTACCTCACTTTATTCACATCACTTTGATGAGGCTGGATGAAATGGACTTAAGATAGGTGCCAGGGAAGCTCAAAAGTTCAGAGAAGAGGGCTATTTTAGGAAGAGTTCAGAAAAATACAGGACTCACTTGATAGAACTAGCTGATTCGAAAAATCAAGGAAAAAATAGACACTTGAAAGACTCAACATCCCATTCCTCTGTGATTCCAATATCATTTCTCAATGGAACTTTACTTGTGGCTAAGAAAATGTGTATGTACCCCTATTACTAGGTTCAGAATTAGAATGACAAATAGACAAGAATGTTCTCTATATTTCTATGTTCTTCTTTTCCTTAGCTTACATTAGGGTATTGTTTTATTTTCCTTTGCTTTGCCATCAATGCTTCTCAAACCATCTGCTTCAAAGGCCGTTTTTATTTGCTCGTTTGTTTTACCCAACCTGTCCTGCAACAGTACCCATTCAACAAGGTGTGTCCATGGTGGTATGCATGGATGCCCTCGCATGTCAAACTGCTATAAACATTTCCAAATGCTTGCTCTCAATGTGTGTATTTCTTACATCATGCACGGATTTAAAAAAAAAAAAAAAAAAGGTTTTTGTCTAGCACTAGTCCACAGGCCCCATTTATTCCATAGGAAAACAGAATTTGAGCTTCATAATCACCAAATTTGGTATTTCTCCCAAGGGGTATTGCATGTATTTATATGCTATTTAGAATCTTATCTCTCTTTACCACTACCCCACCCCCCAACACACACACACACAACTCATAACATTTCCAAATATTCCCAAGTAGAGAAGAACCACCTTTGTTGACATTCACTGATTCTATCCTAACCCCTTTACTGTGTAAATGAGGTAACCGAGACCTAGAGATATTAGATGTGCCCAAGACCATGGTTAACTGCAGAACTGAAACAGACACAGATCTACCTTTCCCAGCCCAATGCACCAATACATCCATGCTAAGTTTAGTGCTGTATTTAATGTTCATAGTGAACTCATTTCATTATATCAGCTAAACTATCTAAACAAGTATGTGTTCCATTCTGTTACTTTTAGTTAATACTATACACATCTGAGAAAAAAGTTACTTTAGAGCAAAAATTAAATCTTTTATCAAGAATATGTACTGAGAAACCAAAAGATGCTGCCTAAAAGTTAAAAAAGAAAAAAAATAGCAATATAAGTCTATTATTTATAAATGTGGTGGTATCTGAAAAACCAACCAAGAGTTGAAAATGGTTGAGAGGTAGAAATTGAGGAAAATGAATTTTTTCCTCACAGTAAACTTTGTAAAGCTATTTCACTCTTTATCATCTATGTACATGTGATAACTTTGATAAAAATTAAAATTAAAAGAAAAACATACCAAGCCATCTTAGATGGCCCCCAATTTATAATCTGAATATTACAATTATTCTGTAACCTGACATTTTGATGCTTACCTTTCACCTGTCTCATTCTCTGGAAGGAGAGCCACAGCATTTTGAGGATTCCAGTTTCCCAAAGCATCACAGCTTCCACATATAGCAAAAACTTCTCCTAAAGAAACAGAACACCAGTTACAGTGGCATAAATAGAAAAGTTTCCACTTTTAGTTTTAAAGATCAGTCAGTTGTATTAGTTCGACCAGATGCAGAGTACCCTTTAGCAAAGATGGAGGACACTCACTGGAAACGTGGGTTTAGACTCAGGTATTACACAAGCATCTGCGTTACTAACTTGACCTACCTTTACATACCCAAAGCCAGAGAAAAGAGGGATGTGAGGAATGAACTTTCATTTGTTCAACTATTTATTGAGCCAATAAAAGGCACCAAGATGACTAATCAAACCAAGTTCCTGCCCTCTAGGCAACTTCCAGTTAAAGGGGCAATCGCTAACTGCAGACAAGTATTCTAAAGAGATAATAATTTATATTTCCTGAAATTCAGACAGTAGCTATTAACAAATTAAAGATCAAGAAAATTATCAATGGGACAGAAGCAATGTGACAACAATAAATATCCTAAAAATAAATAAATAAATAAATAAACAAATAAATTAGACATTGAAAAATCTAATACACCTTATAAAAATAATGACTTTCATCAGAACACTTCTCATCAATAGACAAACCAACATATAGTTATTTATATTTGCTAAATTTCACTTAGTATTTAGCAAAGGTCTAAACCTTCTGCAAGGCGGATGTGGTTCAGTTGCTGCACATCAACCTATAAACCAGGAGGTCACAGTTTGATTCCCGTCAAAGCACATGCCCAGATTTCGAGCTCTGTCCCCAGTAGGGGGCATGCAGAAGGCAGGTGATCAATATTCTCTCATTGATGTATTTATCGCTCTCCCTCTCCTTTTCTCATAATATATATATATATATTTTTTAAAGTCTACCACCTTTCTGGATACAAACACACAGAAGTCTTTGACTTATATCAACACTTTCTGAATTAATATAATTAAAATTCATAAAGAAAAATATAATGAACTGAACCCAAATGTTAAAGGTCAAGACAAATTTCTCCACATTCTAATAGCTAGGATTCTAGCTTTAGACACTACTCTGGAAAAACTAGAATTACAGTTAGTTTAGCCACCAGCATGAGCATTTTGTAAGCTTGGGCTATAAAACTTAACTAAAATTATAGGTATGAGAATCATTCAGGAGTTTTCAAAGTAATAAATACACATGTTTTGTAAAACATAGGGTGATTGAGTATGTCAAAATATTTAAATACTTAAATCCTCTAAAGTAATCAGATTTCTTATAATAAATTTATGTTATCATACCTTCCCTGATTTTTATTTTTTAAAGGATAAATAGGGACCTTAATCTAGTTGAAAGTATGGGAGATTACAGTAAAGCGAAGTAAGTGGGGCACAGCACAGATCTAGAGGAAATAATTTGAGAAAATCCCAATGGTTCTAGAGAAGAAATGCAACAGATTTGAGGAACTGACTAGTATAGCCAAAGTATATTAAACAAGGATGTATATAACCCAGGTACGATACTGTTTTGACGTGCTATCTTACATAAAAATTATTTCACACTGCTTAAGTAGACAGCAAAAATATATAATGAAGTTAAAAATAAAAATAAGAAACTTATAAATTGGGAACAAAGTTATATTAGACAAGTATTTTTCCAATTTCTTGCACTAGCAAAATTTCCATTGTTTTTATGCTATTTAAAAATCACAGCCCGATTATCTTTGTCATATGCAAAATTAAATCACAGCTTTCTTTGAAAATAAGAGTTTTTTGTTTGTTTTTCCCTGTGTTTACTATGCTCCAAGCACATGTGTAGTATCAGGCAAGCCATAAAGATATTTTCATCTAACAACAGCTCCATATTTAAGATAAACCAGATAAGGAAAATGCTCATTTACAATACCTGGAAACAGAGTTCCTCTTATTTCAAAGGTAACCTGAGAAGGTGTCATTCTGATGGATTTTTTTGAGGATGTCGGGCTAGGAAGAAAAAGAGAAGATGTCATTTATAATATATGAAAATATTAGCTCTAGACATCTATACAAAAACAAAAATGAATTTTAACTTGTTAGCAAAAGATTTCCCAGACTTTATATAGAGACTGAATTACTTAGGAAATACCTAGCAAGTTTTAGGGACTGTAATGTTACAGACCTGTTCCATAAGAATATATGGACCATAAAAATTGCAAAGCAATGGGGGGAAAATAAATTCAGAGGCAAAGAAGCATTGAACAGACTGCCAAGTCTGCCTTCCCACTGTAGTTGCCAAACTACAGTGGGAAGGCAGGGGAGGTTGGGGGAAGGGGGCTGTAAGAGATCAATCGAAGGACTTGTACGCATGCATGTAAGCATAACCAATGAAGACACTGTGGGGGTGGGGGAAGCCAATGGGGGGGGGAAATAAGGAGACATATGTACCACTATTTGTAATACTTCAAACAATAAAAAAATAAAATAAAATAAAATAAAATAAAATGGCCACATGGCCAGAATTGAACCTATATTAAATGCAAAAAAAAATAAAAAAATTGCAAAGCAAATGTGACCTTCCCCCCATTTTTTATTTATTTTTTTTTTTTAAGGATGCAGATTCTCCTGTCACATACTTTCTCTTCTGATAAGCAGCTGTTCTAAACTCAACCTATCTTTCCTGGCCAGGCCCATGTTATGGTGGAAGGAAAAAATGATAGAGAAAAAGAGAGGCTCAAGAGAGGATTTATACCTTAACAGAAAGATTTTAACTTTAGTAATAAGAACCAAAAAAACAAAATATTACCCACTAAACAAACTATTCATGTTCTACAACAAGTTTGAGAATGTGCTTCTCATAACTAATGACAACCAAACACCTTCCCCTACAAGTCACTCTTCAGATTTTCTTTATTATCCTTAGGACCATCAAGTCCAGTTCTGCTGCAGACTTAAATTTAGAGTATCAACTTTGCAATTTATTACCAAACCCTGTATTTATATGCTTTTCTTTCTAAAGTTTGAACTTCAGCCGAAACGGGTTTGGCTCAGTGGTAGAGCGTCGGTTTGCGAACTGAAAGGTCCCGGGTTCGATTCTGGTCAAGGGCATGTACCTTGGTTGCGGGCACATCCCCTATCGGGGGTATGCAAGAGGCAGCTGGTCGATGTTACTCTCTCATCGACGTTTCTAGCTCTCTCTCTCCCTCCCTTCCTCTCTGTAAAAAATCAATAAAATATATTAAAAAAAAAAAAAAAATAGTGATAGCTGGCATCTTTCTTTAAAAAAATAAAGTTTGAACTTCATTCATAATCCTAATTCTCCTACCAGTATTTTAGCTTCTAAATCTCAAAATTCTTGAAATCACTTAGATTATTTATAGAAATCTAAACTCCTAAGCCTTTGATGTTTTTAATCACTTATCCACATTTTTTTTCTCTCTGAATTTTCACTTCTTTTCTATTTCTCCCAGCCAAATCAATCTGTTTACCATCCTCTAATTTAAGTATCTGAGGGATGATAGGAAATAGAGTTCTTTTTAAATATATAATGCCAATTCTCAAGAAGGTTATAGAATTTAAATATAGAAAGAACATGCCTTAGCCGGATGGCTCAGTTGGTTGGAGTGTTGTCCCATACACTACAAGACTGCAAGTTCGATTCCCAGTCAGGGCATATACCTAAGTCCTAAAGAACCTTTCATAGACATTCATTCTTCTATTTCCCCTTTGTTTTCCCTTGGCTCCCTGTGAACACAAGCACTACTCTAAAATGGTTATTTAATAAATACTGCTATGACACTTCTAAGACAAGGCAGTGTGATATCGATCTATAGCAGTGATTCTTACTGGAGGCTTTTTTCTTTAATTTTTTTTAAAAAATATATTTTATTGATATTTTACAGAGAGGAAGGGAGAGAGATAGAGAGCTAGAAACGTCGATGAGAGAGAATCATCAACCAGCTGCCTCCTGCACACCCCCTACTGGGGATGTGCCCGCAACCAATGTACATGCCCGACCGGAATCGAACCTGGGATCTTTCAGTCCGCAGACCGACGCTCTACCGCTGAGCCAAATCGGTTTCGGCTTTTTTTTTTTTTTTAATTTTTATAAAGTGAATATACAGCTCATTTTTAAATTTTTCAATTATAGCCAACATTCAGTATTATATTCATTTCAGGTGTACAGCCTAGTGGTTAGATATTAATATAACTTATGAAGTAATCCCTCTGATTGATAAGTCTAGTACCTGCCTGTTACCATATACAGTTATCACAATTGACTACATTCCCTATGCTGTTTCTGTGACTGTTTTGTGACTACCAATTTGTACTTCTTAATCCCTTCACTTTTTTCATCACCCTCCAATTCACCTGGCAACTGTAAGTCTGCTCGCACTTGGAGGCAATTTTGCTCTCCAAATGTCGAGAGACATTTATGGAACCAAAATCAATCCGGGGAGATGCTCCTGGCATCTAGTGGGTAGAGGCCAGGAGAGCTACTAAACACCACAGACTGCACACAGAACAGCTCTCTACATATAACTGACCAACTCCAAATATCAACAGGGCTGAGACTGAGAAACCTGATCTCTAGTTTGTATCTTCAGGGGACAGCTATGGAGATCAAGAGTGGGGCTCATAATATTGGGTCTAGTAATACTTAATGTCGTTTTTTAACATTCGTTTAAAATCTTACTTGGCGTTGACTTGTATTGACAACCTTCAAACACGTGGTATCTACAGAACGTGTGAAGTGCAATTAACAAGTTTTGCTTGAAAAAGTTTGTGTTTGGTTTGGTTTTTGTTGCAAAACTAGGGCTAAGAAGATGGCAGATGAAGAGCATATTCGGCACTGCATGCTTTACGAGTTCCAATTAGGAAGAAAAGCAAGTGAGGCTGCAAAAAACATCTGCAGTGCTCTTGGTCAAGATGCAGTTAGCGCCAGAAAATGCCAGCGTTGGTTTGAGAAATTTCGCGAGGGAAATTTTTCGTTAGATGACAAGAGTGGTCGAGGCCGTGTGTCCAATTTTGATCAAGAAGCTCTTCAAGCTCTTTTGGTGCAAAATCCTCAAATTACCCAAGAGCTTGCGACAACTTTAAATTGTTCACAAAAAACAATTTCCAATCAATTGCGTGCACTTGGCAAAGTCCAAAAGTTTGGAAAATGGGTTCCTCATGAGTTGACTGACAACAACCGTAATCAAAGAGTCACAATTTGCAGTTCGCTCCTCTCTCGTCAAAAACCGTTTGCCGTTTTTAGAGCAAATTGTTACCGGAGATGAAGAATGGGTGCTGTATGTTAATTTGAAAAGGCGGCCTCAATGGTTGGACAAAAATGAGGCTCCGCAGCCCACGCCAAAACCTGACTTGCATGCGAAAAAAGTGATGTTGTGTGTTTGGTGGAATTTTAAAGGAATTCTTCATTATGAACTTTTACCATCTAACCAAACCATTACAAGTGCAGTGTATAGTGCCCAATTGGAAAGGTTAGCCCAAGCTTTAAGAGAAAAAGAATCCGCGCTGACTAATCGGAAGGGCGTAATTCTTCACCACGATAACGCACGACCGCATACTGCAAGAATCACTGCTGAAAAACTGCGCCAGTTGGAATGGGAAGTTCTCCCTCAACCTGCATATTCTCTTGATATTGCCCCTTCCGATTACCATTTGTTTCGTTCTTTGCAAAACTTTCTTCTTGGAAAAAAATTTAATAATGAAGAATGCCTCAAAAATGCATTGACCGAATTTTTTGCATCAAAATCACAAGAATTTTACAACAGAGGGATTAAAATGCTTCCTGAGCGTTGGGCACAAGTAGTAGAAAACAACGGCAACTATATTGTTGATTAAATTTTGTTGTATTGTTTAAATAAATTTGATTTAAAAAAGTATTAGAAAACGACATTAATTATTACTTGTATGGCTTAAGTTTGTTGGAGCAATGTCCTACAGCAGCAGGGTTGCAGGTTGGATCTCCAGTCAGAGCACATATAAGAACCAACCAATGAATGCTATATACATAAGTGGAATATAACAAGTGCATCTCCCCCTTTAAAAAAAAAAAAATCAATAAATTAAAAAAAATTTTTTTAAAGAGTCCAGGCTGATTGTTAGCTATAAACTATATATCACCCCATTTACATAAATCATAAAATGTAAATGTTGAATATGTATAAACAGGACCATCAGTCAATGTGTTTTCAAGTTATACTTGGATAAAGACTTCCCTATTTAGTAACTTGACCATTTATTTAGAAAACCCAAGACTCTGCACTGGAGAAAAATCTGTCCTTGATCAAAATAGTTTCTAAAATATCTAATCTAGTGCTGGCTGATTTGGCTCAGTGGATAGAGCCTGTGGACTGAAGGGTCCCAGGTTCGATTCCGGCAAAGGGCACATGCCTGGGGTTGCCAACTCGATCCGCCAGTGGGGAGAGTGCAGGTGGCAGCCAATCGATGATTCTCTCTCATCATTGATGTTTCTATCTCTCTCTCTCCACTCTTGCTTCCTCTCTGAAATCAATAAAAATATATTAAAAAATATCTAATCTACTTTTTATTGTTGTTAATCTTTACCCGAGGCTATTTCCAGTGTTTTGTGTGTTTTTTTAGAGAGTGGGAGAGAGAAGGGAAGACGAGAGAAAAACTGGTTGCCTCCTGCGAGTTCCCAGGGCCCTAATCTACTAGTACTTTCTAAGAGTAAATATGATCTATTTAAAGCACATAGATTCAGTTCTAACACTGCTGAAGAATATCCTCAATCTAAAAATACCTTGATTGTTAACCTCTCCAAATAACCAATTATTATCCAAAATCTTAATAGTTCTCTTTTGCCCTAGCTGATTTGTATTAGTGGATAGAGTTATCAGCCTGCAGACTGAAGGGCCCATGGTTCAATTCAGGTCAAGAGCAAATGCTAGGGTTATGAGCTCACTTCCCAGTAGGGGGAGTGCAGGAGCAGCCAATCAATGGCTCTCTCATCAATGATGTTTCTCTCTCCCTCTCCTTTTCTCTCTGAAATCAAGAAAATATATTAAAAAACATATATTAAAAAATCCTCTTTTAACACGACATCTGATATGAATCTAAGTACAAATATTTCCTTTTCTAATTAATAAAATGGCTTATTGAAGCATTGCAATCTTCCATTTAAATTTATATAAAAAAGAAACCTTAAGGCTAGCAAAAAAGCTCAAATTTTATGTTACTGAATTAATTTTGAGACATAGCAAAAGCTCCATTATCTAGCAAAACTACTGAATAAACAACCTCAATCTCAACCAATAACATACTTTCACCCAGTGTTTACTACCACAGTTCTTAACTAAGAAGAGACTTCTCCACATAATTATAGTACAGTTATTCAAAATTGATCAACTAATAGGTGCATACTATTTTAACCAATTTTAGGAAAATCAGATGTAATTATTCCCATGCATTAAATTTAACAACTGATACAAAATTATCTCTAGATCTCTACTGCATTAAATGAGAAAATTATCTAAAATTTAATAAAAGGGAAATCAATTGGTCATTAAAATTGAGTCTCTTGTTCTTAAGGTGAATGACTATAGTAACTTGGCTGGACACAGCTGCAGTAAATGTACTATAAAAACACAAAGATAACCCCATAAAACTTCCTCAAATGTCAAAAAAGCATCATCTTCCACTTATATTGCCAAAAGTTTAATTTCCACCCCATCTCCCCAGTTTAATACCATACCAATAAAAGCCAGGGAGCTGCTGCTACAGCAGTTTACTTGATTGTGGACAGAAGCCAAAATTCTGGTGCAGGATTGGAGCACCCAAGCACCAGCTATCACAAAAACAGTGGTGACTAAGTAAAATACTGGTCTGTGGTGAAAACACAAAATTTACACACCCAATAACACTTCCTCTTCATGAAAACAAAACAAAAAACCTTGAACAGGAGGAAGTCTTCCAAATATACATAAAATAAGATGAAAAATGCTACATACATGAGCTGTGTATGTAATGTTATATATCATTTAATCAACTCACTTATCATTCTTTTATAGACTGTGCTTCCTGACAAGGTTTTTGGTTTTTAAATATAACCTCCATTTCGTGCTTTTAGATAAATATTAAACAGCATTCTTACCTGAGATTTTGAGTAGCATTTAACACTACTTTAATATTTTTTAAAGACTCAAGCCAACAAGCAAAATATGAGTTGCAACTTACATTTTAAAATATTTGAGTTTACACTGCCTAGCAAAATAAATGTACTCTCTACTTTTAGTCAAAGAAACTACTCCCATCTGTGACCTTACTAGTTTACCAGCTTAGGGGACAAAAAGGAGATTTAAGCAAACCAAGGTATAAGAACATTTTAACTTAGAGCTAAATTAAAGAATATTTTTAGCTAAAGCATGTTTCTCTGGCCAAAAAGAACATCTCTCACTGTTTTTCCTTTCCCCCAATTTTTTTCTTCTTCAAAGAAAAAGCTGTTTCCTATTCTCTTTGCTCTTTCCTAAACACCAACAGCTTTGAGTATCTTAACTGCCTGTCAGAAAGGACTATCGGAAATGCCTATGCTTTCCTGAGTTAATTTCTATTCATTCGATGGAGGACCATTATGATCCCACTACTCTGACCAGCAAAGTTTTAGTAAAATGGCTGCAGACATGAAGAGATTTTTATTAAGAAAGGATTTCTGGATTTCTTTAAGCCAAGTTAATTCCTTAATCACTTTCTAAACTACGCAATCAAGTCTTTCCAAATGGTTTCCCTTTTTATAAATATTTCATATTTTTTCCTGGTTAAGTTATAAGCAAAGATTTGATTCATCAATCTGCTTTCTGTAGATAAAAATTTTACTCACTTTGCCACTGTGAGTTTTATTTTGTGGTCATTATTTCTTTGAGTCCCAACTTTTCTAAGTCTTATTTTGTCTAGAATATTTGTTCGCCTTAGTTCTTTTGTAAATAAATTTTTAAAAAAATTTTTTTAGAGAGAGAAAGAATCAAACATCAATTTGCTGTGCCACTTATTTATGCCTTTATTGGTAGCTTCTTGAATGCGTCTGACTGGGGATCACGTGTACCCGGCTAGAGCTCTCCCAAATCAAAAACATACAGGACCTTGCGCAGTTTTACCTGTTAATATTGCGTTCTTTGTAGCCAGCACATTAGGAGCTGGAAAAAGTACTGATAACTTGTATTTACTTTTTAGCCAAGTCATAACTGTCAGAAATGTAGCAAGATGGAGAAACATGAAGGGGAGGAGCAGAGGGTAGGAGCTGGGAGGAAAAAATGGGGACCTTGAAAGACTAGTAGAAAGAAGACATTGTATAAAAAAAATTTTAAGAAAAAACAAAAACACCCCAACATCATCAGGTCCCAAACATCCCGCCTGATGCCATCAGTTCCCCTATGTTGGTGCTACATCAGACTCAACAGCTGCCTCAAGGTGAAAGAATTCTCTACCGATCGATCACACGACTGAATTCATGGCAGAGACTTGCTTTGGACCAGGGCGGTGGGGTAGCAGGAGGGGCTGGCGAAGCCCCGAATGGATGAAGGCTTTTTCTCCCCAGATCTCATCACGGCAAACCAAAGAGCGTCGGAGAAAGCAGAGCGCTGGCGAGAGAGCTGCATGCAGTCTGAACGCTGCAGCGAGGGCACTGCAGGCTATCTATTCCTGGATCCTTTTCCTGGGAGAGAGTACGGCACTCTGGTTTCTTGGAATAACTGGAGTGCCCAGGCATGGCCTAGACCTCGTGGCCGGGCACTTTCAGAAAAGAAGCGGCTGTCAAAACACCGCGACTTGGGGATCGATGGTGGCGGCGGGCAGGGACCCGCTGTGGGTGAGGGTGCTTCAGCCGCATTTTGGGGTCTTTGCTCCTTAACTTGGTCCTCCCTATACTCCCGGGGATTCCTATGCTCTTTGCATTCTGATTTATCGAAAAGACTTCACAATTTATTTTTTTTCCCCCGGAGAGGAACTTAAGCGCTCGACAGACAGCCCCGCGGAAACGAGGCAGCCAGCAAACAATAAAAGTGGAATAAAGATGCTCCCCACCGACTTACCGAAGGGAACGTCCAAGCCGGTGTTTCCCCGGCAGGCGGTGCCCGGCCCGGGCTGGGGGGACACAGCCCGCCCAACCCCTCGACTCCGCCGCCGCCGGTCCCGGCGCCGCACCCCCCGCCCCGCCGCGTCCCCGGCCCGGGCCGCCCTGACAGCTCAGCTGCCACGTGAGTGGGCCGCCCAGGCCCCTGCACCGAGCTCCCGGCCCGCCCGGCGGCCGACTCACCTGCCGGGTCCGCGTCCGCGGGTCGCCGCCGCCGCCGCCGCCGCCGCGCCGGAGAGCGAGTGCCGCGGGCCGAGCTGCCGGGCTCCGGGCGTCCGCGCCTCGCCAGCGCTCCCCAAGGCGGCCCGCGGCGTCGCCCGGCTGCCGAAGGCGGCTGCGCTCAAACCGGTTTCAGCTGCTCCAGACCAAACCGCCGGGCCACCCCGCGGGGGGCGGGGCCGGACGGACGGCGGGGCGGGGCCTTGCGTCACGCCCGGCGCCGTCCCGGCCAATCGGCCGCCGCGCGGGGTGGGGCGGGCTGTGGGTTCCTGGAAAAGAGTGGCGTCAGCGGCAGGGGTCGCGGGGCATCCCCTGGGCGGGCTCCCGCGGGCCGGTCTGTGTTTTCCTGCAGCGACACCGGGGAGACCTGGCCCTCGGTCATTGCCGGGTTCCTTCGCCCCAGAGCCCATTGAAGATCACCAAGTGCGGAGGCTGGAGATGGACATCTGAACCGCATTGTTTCCCCCTTGCGAAGGTGAAGAAAATTAGCAGGCCAGATGTTTTCTGGAAATTTTCTCTTGCAAAACAAGCACGTGTGGACCACATTTTAAAGTTGAAAGCGAAAAAAAAAAAAAAGTAAAAAAATAAAAACAAAAAAATAATGTTGAAAGCGAGGATAAAGGTGACTTAAGGCGGTTAAGAATTTATAACTTTGGCAAAGCAAAGCGTGGTGTAAAGCCTGCAGCATCATTTGGGAACGGCCAAAACTGCATTGTCAGGACCGCCCCAGACCTGCCCAATCGAATATCCATAACAAGATCCCTAGATTATTTTAAATATTTATATTTTATTGATTTTTCACAGAGAGGAAGGGAGGGGGATAGAGAGTTAGAAACATTGATGAGAGAGAATCATCGATCAGCTGCCTCATGCACACCCCCTACTGGGGATGTGCCCGCAACCAAGGTACATGCCCTCAACCGGAATCGAACCCAAGACTTTTCAGTCCACAGGCCGACGCTCTATCCACTGAGCCAAACCGGTCCCGGCCCTAGATTATTTTAAACAAATTAAACTTTAAAGGAACTTTTCTGAAAGCTAGAAAGATTCTCTGCCAAAGATGCAGTCATTTATTAAAAAAAAAAAAAAAAAAAAAAAATCGGCCCCACCAAAACACAAAAACAAACAAAAAAGGAGGTGTTTTTTTTTTTCTCTCTCTCTCTCCTTTGATGGTCTCAGGACAGTTGATCAGCATTTGCTAGGTATCTAACTTAAATTGTTACCTTTCCAGCATCAAATTTAATCTCTGGCTAACCATGAACATAAAAGCTATGTTAACTGATTCCTTAAATCAGTGAAATACTGAAAAAAAAACAAAAAAAAACCACTTTTTTAGGGAATATTGAAGGACACATAAGGGAGATAGCTTGAGTTGTAACTTGGTTGGAATGAGCCTACTGAGGTGTTTGGTTAAGATGAACTTTAGTTTTAGACAGCTTTGATAGACCACATTTGATATCTGAGCTTGAATTAAATCCCTGGACATTTCTGACGATGTCATCCATTCAATTAATAAATAATTATTAAGTGCTGTCTTTGCTATAGGCATATGATGCAATGGTTTGTGTGTGTTTTATATATAATACACTAGAGGCCCAGTGCATGAAATTCGTGCATGCGGGAGCGGAGGAGAGTCCCTCAGCCCAGCCTGCACCCTCCCCAATCTGGGATCCCTCTCACCACCCAGGACTACTGACTCCCAACCGCTTGCCTGCCTGCCTGTTTGCCCCTAACCCCCTCTGCCTGTCAGCCTGATCACCCCCTAACCACTACCCTGCCAGCCTAATTGATACTTAACTGCTCCCCTGCAGGCCTGATTGCCCCTAACTGTCCTCCCCTGCAGGCCTGGTCCCCCCCAACTGCCCTCTCCTGCAGGCCAGGTCCCTTCCAACTGTCCTTCCCTGTAGGCCTGGTCCCTCCCAATTTCCCTCCCCTGAAGGCCTGGTCCCTCCCAACTACACTACCCTGGTGGCCTGATTGCCCCAACTGCCCTCCCCTGCAGCCATATTGTGTCCACATGGGGGTGGCTATCTTGTGTGTTGGAGTGATGGTCAATTTGCATATTACCTCTGAATTTTTATTGATTTCAGAGAGGAAGGGGAGAGGGGGAGAGTTAGAAAAATCAATGATGAAAGGGAATCATTGATCTGCTGCCTCCTGCACTCCCTCTATTGGGGATGGAGCCTACAACAGGGCATGTGCCCTTGATTGGAATTGAACCCGGGACCCTTCAGTCTACAGGCCGACATTCTATCCACTGAGCCAAATTGGCTAGGGCTGTGTGTGTGTTTTTTAATCCTCACCTGAGGATATTTTCCCATTGATTTTTAGAGAGAGGAAAACACAGAGAAACATATTGACTATGTTGCCTCCTGCACTCAGCCCTGACCAGGAACTGAACCAAGAAGAAGACTGCAACTGAGATACGTGCTCTTGATCGGAATTTGAACTCAGGAATCTTTGGTCTGCAGGTGAACACTCTGTCCACTGAGTCAAACCAGCTAGGGCCAATGCAATGGTTTTTTTGATGGCACTTATTTTAATTCCACTTTTCTTTCTTTTCTTTTCCTTTATTTATTTATTTTTTTTTTACAGTTGACTCCCATGATCCTATATGTTTTATTTTGTACTCATGCAAAAATTATTCTGAGACAATGTTCATGTTTTTCATCAGATTCAAGGAGGGGTTCAAGATAAAAACAACAACATTGAGGATCTCTGGAACCAGGGGTCTCACATTTCTTAAAGAATTAAAATGTTCTCCTAATTACGTACCATTATCTGTTAAAGTCTGCTCTTGCACATTTCCTAATAGCTTGGAGTTTATTTTATTACTGTTAGTCATACCACAATGGGATGAATTTCTTTCATACAAGTTTGCTTCCTTTAAGTGTTTATTACAGATCTTTATTTTCCTGTAATCACCATTTAGTCAAACAATTACTTGCCCAATGTTCATAGGTCAAGTTGATGGACCTAATCCATGCTCCTTCCCTAAATCCTACTGTAATGAGAGAAGTATAATACATATTTGAAGGATGCTACCAGCTCTGTTTTGGGTTGATTCTTCTCCCAGTAATTTTCAGTATGACTTGGATTAAAAAAGTTTGATTGTTTGTACTTATCTCTTGATCATTCCTTGAAAATATTGTAAGCATTCTCCTGAAATATTCCACAACTGCTCTATTGCCAGACCCAAAACACTATCAATTTTGTCTGTTTCACTTACCTCACTAGTAGTTCTGCTCCTCAAATGTATAATCTGCTAAACTGACAAGCTCAGGGAAGGCCTGCATGGCAGTCTTGCAAACTCAAAGATCTAAAGTAACCACAAAGGATGGTCCGAAATTAAAACTTTATCTAAAAACAGTTTATAGTGGGTAGTCATTGTTATCACATTACTTGTTGACTGTTAACTATCCAGTACCCATCTAAGTAAAATAAGTATATGTCTATCATTTTACTTTTTATCCAATCCCAGACGTTCCCCCCCCCCTCACCTTTGCTTTCTTCCACCTCTTTAATCTATCACCAATGGATTTCATGTGACTCACTTAAGTCTCCTCCTTTGATTGTAATGCTTAAAACAAAGTGAAAAATTGCTATTCTCTGAGCATTATCTCAATACATTGAGATTCTGCTTTCCAGCAATTGTTAACAGTTTGGCTCAAATAAACTCAGAAAAATTCTTTACAGGTTCAAATGCTTTTGTTAACAAATCCATACCTTTCATTTCTTCTTCATTAATCTATGTAATTTCCCAAATTACAGTATGCACTACTTATTCTTTGTGTAGGTGACATAACAGTTACAGTTATTTTGCAATTGATTTTTCTTTCATGTAAAAATTAATCCTATATGCAGGAAACCAAGGGAATTGACGATTTCCAAAGCTATGTAGGTGCCTCATATGTGAACCTTTAAACTAATTTCAAATTGGTTGCAGCTTTTCTGGTGTATTGCTTTCCAAGCTTTCAAACACATCATAGGGTCAAAAAGTCTGGAGAGGAACAGATTCCAATGGCAGGATGAAAATGGTCTTTTTCTTCCCCAACGCTATGGGAATTTGAACACCACATGTTTATGGTTCAGGTGAAGTTTGAGAAGGCACCAGCACCTAACATGGTACCTACTGCTCCCTAATGCTTACATCCCTCCCAGGCCTTCACCAAACCTCAGTTCTTAAAGAAACTACCAGTTTCATCAAATCTAAGAAGTCTACAATGAGACAGTACTAAAAATTTTAAAAAGTGCTGCCCTTTAAACTATGCCATAACACTTTCTTACAACTTAGAATGTTTCACTTTACTTACTAAAAGTATTCTTTTACACCCATGGGGCATAAATGTTGTTATGCATGCATACTAGTGCAAAAGAAAATACAAGTGAAATAATTTGCTTAAGTATTCCTCAAACTTCTTCACATTGATAGTTCCACCCTGGATAATATTGCAATGTTTTTGTTTTTCTAAACAATATTATCCAATACCATTAATGATGTAGCATATTTTATAATAAGTGCTCAAGTAATATCCCTGGGAGTTTTTCCAAGCCAATGATTCCCATTGGGCAAGTTTTCATGACATTCCTACTTTTGATCCCAAGAGAAGGTATCAATGAAGGTCTATAGACAATAGCCAGTACTTCTCCTCCATCTTCAAATGGTCCTCAAATGGTTTTACATTGAGACACCCAGAGATTATAGTCCTTAGTCATGCCAGCAGGAAAAACAGACACATTCAAGTAAGCCCAGGGGAATACAAGTATATCAGGACAGCTGCCTGGCCACCAGTGATTTTGCAGGTTAAAATTATAAAAGGAAAACCTTAGAATGGGTGAAATAAGGTAATACCCATCTTATTTCACTGAATTATGACAAACTAATTGCATAGATAATCAACCTACAATAATTTATCCTTTAGATTTCTTGTTTGTTTGTTTGTTTGTTTGTTTTAGATTCAAAGTTGGGTCCCTGGTGGGTGGCTGCCCTTTTTGTTGGAGAGACAGACAACGACCTGAGCCACGCAGCACATTTATTTCCAAAAGAATAAAGGAAGGTTTCCCTAAAAAGTTTAGGGTTAAAGGAGTTTTGTGTGTGCCCAGGACATATTCATTCCCTTACTCTCGGTCCTATTCAAT